TTTTTCTTCCCAAAAAATAACGATGAGAAGTTGGAGTAAGTCCTATAGGACAATGTGTGCAGATTCCGTCTGTTACTGTGCACACGACCATACAGCTGATTAGAGCAGTGTGTTGATCAGTTCAGTTTATTTGGGGAAATGCAGTTACGCATGAACCTTTGAACTCATAATTTGTCATAAGCAGAGTAAGTATGTTGAAGATTTGAAAAATTGGTTACAATAAATAACTACAAGGCAGATACCCCCAAGTTAATGGGCGCCCGCTAAGCCATGATCGACAAATCTTTGCCCTCGTAGCACATACATCTGTGAAAGTGAACATGGCCGTACGCCTGAGCAAATCCAGAACATGGTTTTTATACGCTTCGCGGTACACTGTATATAGTTCGGATTGCGCTTGAATTAATGGTCTCAGAGATTCTGATGCATCTTCAGTCAGTCAGCGATTCGCTGATAAGGGAGTATCTACAGCTTCTAAATTCAAGCGGTTCCACTGGTCACCACCTAGCTGACCATTCTTAGTGTCCTTCTCTGTCTCAGATATTGTGGTGACCTAAAAACTTGAGTTGGGAAAAACGACAAACACGACGCAGGTACTTAAAGTCACTAGAAACGCTGTTACGCGGAATATCGTCGCGTGGAGCCGTACTAACATGAACCATAAGCAAATGTGGTCCAGTTACAATGCCTTCTAGCACTAAGCCCTGTTTCATTGTAGAAAAAGAGGCGCCCTCGCGCAACGCTATGAGTGCGTTTGGGTTGACTTAGTCGAAGCATGAACCTTGATGATATTCCGCGCTCACAAAAGTTGGTGCCAGTTGGGACGAGAACATGTATACCAGCCATCGGTAAATTCTGTCCCAGTTGTCTGAATGTTCCAGACGAATGTCCTTCTTTAACTTATGATAGTTCGGCCGTAGTGACAGACGATAACCACCCAGTGCCTCACAGCTGGATGAACGCGGGCACGAGGATTTGTGCGTAAATTATTTTATAGGGGCAATAGACTTACACATCATTCACCGTACTCTCATCCTCATCCTCTTCCTCCTATTCCTCTGCCACCTGAGCCCGGAGTCAAGACATACAGTAAGTGGCCGATCTCATGAAATGTTGGCTGAGATTCTGAAATGCGTTTTCAATTAAGAAGGATTACTTGGTCGCGGTTGTAATACTGATTATCTTGCGGCATAATCTTATAACATTTCGGACTCGGCAGTATATCAGCTTTTGAATATACTGCTTTTCGATCTCCCGTTGAAACCGTGCTCGGCAAAAAATGACTACATAAATAGCATGCATTTTTCACATTTATTTTCGATAGTCTTGCAAATTTAAATATATTTTATAGAAACCACAAACAAAAATATGCTTTCTTTCTGTCATTTAATGGAGAATCACGTCTTTCTTATATTTTATACTCAAGGAAGGAGTAAAATTAGGCTTTTAAAAAGTATTCTAATTGCCGAATAATTTGGAGCCTTACCATTCGCTGCATTAGGTCTTAGTGATTTAACTCGCGTAAAGAAAATCACATACTTTTATATGCCATTAAAAAGATATCATACAGAGTCCATAATATTTTGCAATGGATGCGGACTATGTTGTACATTTCATGGGGAGCTGTGGTAAATGGCCAGGTACGATGCTATGTGAATGGACATTGCGCGGTCTTCAAAAATCTCATAATTAGAAAGTTTTTTAAAACCTGAGTATACTCCTTCCTTGAGTATAAAACATAAGGAAGACGTGATTATCTATTAAATGACTGAAAAAGGCATATTTTTGTTTATGGTTTCTATAAGATACATTTGAATTTTCAAGACCATCGTAAATCAAGGGGAAAACTGCATGCTACTTAAGTAGTTATTTTTGCCGAGCACGGTTTCTGCAGGAGATTTAAAAGCAGTATATTCAAAAACCGACATACTGCCGAGTCCGAAATGTTATAAGATTATGCCACAGGATAATCAGTATTACAACCGCCACCAAGTATTCCTTCTTAATCGAAAACGCATTTCATAATTTCAGCAAACATTTCATGAAATCGGTCACTCACTGTAGTCAAAAAGACCAGTGGCGAGGCAAGGCTAAGGCTCTAAACGCAGCCGAATCCCCATCTGGGCGTGTCGACGCAGGCCCTCGTCCACAGCAAACACTTGAGGAAGATTTTTACCAAGAACAACATTGTTGAGCTGCAAGGACCCCAGGTGACACGACGTGAGCCGGCTACTGCATCTGCCATCACGCCCCGAACTTTGGCATTTGTCATGGTGTGCAAGCTGATAACGTCTGCCAGAATCCAGTATGGTCCCCCCGTGTGCTGGTCCACAGCATCTACCGCATGGCCCATTTTGGGGGTGTGTATATTATAGCATATTAGTCATAACAATGCCAGTACATTACTCACCCTTACTTGTATGCTTTTTGTGAAAACATCCGGAAGCACATTGTTGAACCATCGAAAACCGCACCGGTTTGATATGTTTCATCTTTCCTCAAAGTGAATTCCCCAATGTTCTACTTTAGGTAACATACGCCCTTCCAGAAATTTGCCATGAATACATTCCGTATTCAATGATCTTCGGAGCAAAGTGCCAGTTTGACCGTCTACTCCGACGATGTCCATCGCATGCACCACTAGAGGATGGACGGAGAAGCAGTAATTCGCGCGCAAAATTACTACTGTTATCTCCTTGAAAGCACCTGTTGTGTTCGTTCAGACATACAGTAGTTGGGCTAACTCATGAAATGTCAACCGCAATTCCGAATTGCGCTTTCGTTTCGAAAAAAATTAATTAAGTAGTGTTGTAAAACTAATCATCCTGCAGCATAATTTCATAATACTTCAGTTACCTCACGACGCTAACTTTCAAACAAACTTCTTCTCGGCTGCATGCCAAAAACTATACTCTGTAAAAATGACTGCTTAAGAAGCATGAATTTTTCTCACTGATTTTCGATGCCCTTAAAAATGCATTTAAATTTCATAGAACAATGCATAAACATATTTATTGTTTTGCTCATTTGGTAGAGGATTACATTATCCTTCAATTTTATACTCGAGCAAGGGCATCATTCGGTTTGCACAATCTGTTCCCAAATTCTAAGTAATTTTGAATCCGATCTGCCGTTACACTTGCATTCAGGGTGTTCAAAATACAAGCCGCATATTTTTCGCGTACGGAAAACGGCACATTTCTCTTCGGCATTAAGAGAAGACTATATGGGGTTCATAAAATTTAGCAGTGGATTAGAGCCACATTGTTAACCTTATAAGCCACATTGGTTAATGCAGAGACAGGACGATTTTGACCGGCCATTTCGCGAGATTAAAAATTCCAAATTTAGTTACTTTTTTAAACAGACTTGTACCCCTCCTTCGACTATAACATTGGAGGAAGACATAATTTTCTACCGAATGAATGAACGAACGAATATTTTTACGCATTTTTTCCATGAAATATAATTGCATTTTTAAGGGCATCGAAAATCAGTGAGAAAAGTGTGTGCTAATTAATCAGTCATTTTTTCAGAGTATAGATTTGCATGCAGCCGGAAAGACGTTCGTTTGAAAGCCTGCATCGTGAGGTAATTAAATTATCATAGAAATATGCTGTATAATGATTAGTTTTACAACCCCTATTAATTAGTTTTTTCGAAACTAAAACATATTTCGGCATTTCGGCAGTTAGCCCACCTACTGTATTTATGCTATCACCTAAATATTCCGACTGCAACATTCTCGAGGGATTGACGTTTTCGCCCTTTTCAAACTGCAACCTACTTTAATGTGTGATGACTACGAGAATACTAACCCCGGGATGAGATATGTTGTTTGATTGTATCCAAAAAATCCATAGGTTGTTATTACGAGCTCGTACACACATCAGTTATCGAGTGCAAAAACAGTCGTTAGAAGTTAGTTAAGTCAATGAAGCAAATATTCATGCGCACAAGACTGTCTGTCGACACTCATTCATCTAGTTACTGACTGATCGTCATTGACAAGATAACTATACGATTCCCATCAACACTGACCGATATACTTGCAATCTTCTCCCTAACTGATGTACGCTCAGCACATTGGAAACTAGTTCTGGGCTGTAAGTGTGTAGCCAGCCACATCCTCGCATAATCGACTACATCAGGTCAGTAGACTTGCTTGGGCGTGATACACACACACGCACACACACCTACACACACATATATATATATAGTCGTCCTCAGAAACCCGTTTGAAAATGAAGCCTACACTATTCTCCGCATTATGTTTGTACGTAAGCTGGGCATTGGGTTCCATTAAACATAAAGGTAAGTCCTGCGACAATCGAAAACACCACATTTCACTACCATGTCCTGTCAACTATGTGGCATTTTTCACTACGCAGCTAGCAGACACAGGACTAAAGTCTGTTAACTGAATTGTGAATTGCCAATAGAAGCCAAGAGACGAGTCCCAGGAAATAGTCTTGATGAAGGAGACACGATCGTCGGGGCAAGATCTTTATTAGCTAGCCATGCATGCTAGCCATCTACTGCACCATCAAATCAAACTACCGAGCAGTTAGCTCTCATAGATAGTATTATCTATTTACTTATTTCCATGAGGATACAAAAAGGCAATTGATCCTGGTCGCCAACGGGCATCATTTCCAAAACACGAGGTTCTGCTAGTTAGCTCAATGGCTTCGAATGTTTTACGGCTGATAGACAGATTACGCCGGGAATGGTCACGATAGGAGTCCACGCGCGCTTCGCTGCTCTGATTGTGTGTCTCCTCTAAATTGGCAGACTCGTGCTCCATCCAAGAGACAGACAACCTAGCAACGATCGTCCAATCATACATGTATTCCAATTCAACAAAGAACGTCAGGATTGAAACGGCAGATGGACCTCGTTGTCAAAGCAGCATTAAAGGCCTTCAGTTTGGCAACGGAAGCAACTGCAACCTGGTTAGAACACAATTGAGAAAATCTTCTCTCCAATACCTCTGTCAAATGCATATTGACTTCGCAAACGCAAGCTTCATCTGTCAGGTGCGTGTGTCCGCTTACTTAAATATATGGGCTTCTTTCAGATTGCAGGACTCAGTGAAGTAAGCCGACACATGTTTATCTACCACGACATTCCAATGCGAATTTCCGTGATCGTTCGTCGTTTCCGTCGCAGGCCCCATCTGCGAATTTATTCCGGAATTGTATTTCCTCAATACATATCCTGCTACGATGAATTTAACTACAGTCTCTGGTTGCCGGAGGAGGTCGAAATAAATCTGTTGTCGGTTTTGGGGAGTGCGCTGATGTCCGGTTTTCCCGTCCAGTGTGTTATTTAACACTCTCCGTGCGAAAAGCCCTATTTCCCCTGCAACTACATTTGAATGAGAGAAGTTACGAATTCCGTCTTTTGTTAAAATAAATTTGCTGTGTTTGATGATCAAATTGTCGGTTAAGCAGTATCCACATTGAATTTTCATGCAAGAGAAAGAAACTCATAGTCTGGCTGTTAGAATGCACAAGTTTTCCCTCTCAATACAGTGGTTAGCCGGTCTGAGTGCAACAAATTCACAAGTGGCCGAACAGGCTAAGCCTTGCGCAAAATTGCGGTCGTAATTGGGAGAAGTTGGACGTGAGTATACATGGGTAGTTCTGGTGATGATGGTAGGGGCATAGGTGGTAATGTTGAAAGCGCTAGGGACAAAGATCCCACTCAACTGTCGGTCGATTGCGGTTCGGGTCATGTGCGAATGGTGGTGATGGATAAATACTCAGAATCACAGGTGCGAAAGGGTGCTGTTAAATAATAAATGAATAGGTATACAAACAATTGAATTAACGGGATAAAAGGACGTGCATGTTACAAAAAACTGCTTTAAAAACTTATATGCGCAGGCAATATTTGAATGCGATAGGCGTCGTATCGCTAGTGGTACAATTATATGATGGGAAGGCCTGTCTTGCTCTACACAACGGCAAGGCGTGTGCTGTTGAATGCGTAGGCCTCTAACAATTAGAGCAACGCTGTGGTTTTTTAATTCCTAGATCTTTTGGAGCATAGTAAGTTCTCTAGGTAAAAATCATCTGAGTGACGTTTGAGCTGAAATTTGCAGACAGTGACCTCATGACTTTCAATCACAAAAACTGGGATCGCGCTTTTAAGCTGAGAATAACAAAAGTTATTTGGATGAAAGCAAATATGCGAGTCCCACTTTTCAAAGAAGATGAACGCGCGATCACTAGGACAGTTAAATTTACCTGTTTTAATCAGTGAATAAGTATTCATTATAAAAATGATTCTAACATGCGCACCATATGCCGATTTCGATGCTAAAAAAGTCAGATCCCACGTTGTGATTAGGCAGTTTCACTCCTGCAAATAACCGACCATGAAACGCTGTTGGATAATTCGCTTGACTGTTGTCTGCATGACCAGACGGTTCGTTGCCGTTAGGTCTCCTCCTAAGCCAGTGTGGAAATAACAGGCTCCGTCAAGTTGTTCTCGAGCGACTTCGAGCGAAGGAATTTGTCTTCTTGAGGTCGGACAGATCGGACCCACTAAAGAGCACGAAATGAAATTGAGAGCGTTTAATAATTTTGCGTAGTTTGTTGAACTGTGTTTTACAAAATATGTTCAGAATTTGTAAATTTGTGAAAGGTACTTTAAAGACCGGCATATATCATCCGCATTCTCTGTCTAGGCGTGTAGGTTGAAATGGATTGCTCATGGCCGACGATAGAGGATCTTTCTTTGACGAGCTGCCTGTGCGTTTAATCTCGAGCAGCGGTATTATAGAGGGCAAAATGGCACACACGCCGGCATGCAGTATACGTGGCGAGGTATTAGGATGACCCTGAATTAAGGAGTAAGGCCAGCTGTAACTTCCTCAGATCAGAAATCGTCCACACGCAAGAGTATGCAACCTCATCTTTTGTGTGTGATATTCGCGTGCGGCGTCTTGGAAATGTTGATGTTTGATGCTAGTTTATCGACAACATAGAACTGTCAAGAGATGTCATTAGGCAATAAGTGAAAAGATAGGCCAACAATTAAATTAGCGGAACACAACGGCAAGGTGCGTGCTGTTTATAGCTTATGCATCTAGCAATCAGGACGCCTCTGTTGTTCTAGGCGCTTGAGTGTTGCAGAGCATAGTAAGTTCTAGGTTAAAATCATCTGAGTGACAATCGTGGTGAAATTTGCAGACGGTGGTCTTGAAAATTTTAACTGCACAAATTCGTGTTTTGGCTTATAGCTGAAGGTAAAAAAAGAGTTGGTCGAAATGCCCTATAATTTGTTTCCGCGTCTGCATGAAGCAGGCTATTCAGCAAGGCGGCACCCTTTTTTCAACATTAATTAAAATCTCACAATTGTCCTTTAGTGTAGATTTCTTGATTGTCACATCACGAGACATGCATGAATGTGAGTGAACCTAAGTAGGTTGAGCATTTTCCTAACACAGAAAACGGGTGCAGGCCTTCCAGAGTCGCAAACGACAATGTCCACAGTCGGTTCCACAACTCATCACCGGTGAATTGCGCGTGGACTAGGTTGCAATGATGGTAGATTTGCACACGCTCCTCTTTATTCAAACGGCCTAGATGTTGATACAGAGTCAGGAAGACCGAGTCGGGATCGGGCGAAGTGGGCGGCGAAGATAAATAGCCACTTCACGATATCTTTAAACTTTCCAAATTAGATGTTACGTGGCATGAAACTGCCGAAAAGTGGGTGTTGTAGTCGTTCACCGAACGGTAAAAGAGCAACGAAGGAATGTCTTAATGAGGACACAAATTTTGGTCCATCATATCATCCTAACTGAAGAATCTACATCTGGTTCATAAGTATAATATAACCTCGACACCACTTCACAGTCGACCTAACTCTCTTGATCAGCGGCTCTACTTCGCGAACTTTGCCTATAGAATGTTGACGTGGAGTACTGAGTAGTTTCCGCAGTAGTCCTCGTCGAAATCTATTTCGAAGTTTTAGTACTTCCCTTGTATGACCGGCCACGGAGATACCGGCAGAGGAAACATCTTCTTTAATGTGCCTAGTGGGCTGGTATTTTTGCCATCCAAAGTTAGCACGGAGAATGCAAGCCCCTATTTTCTCTTTATGATTATGGGTTGATTGACGTTGTCGCTGTTATAAGTAAACCCGTTTTGTAGTCGAATCCCAATGTGGCGGATTACCGAAATGACTATAAACATGCTACTAGCATGATGTCAACAGATCCTTTTTGTGCGTTAAACTAGACCAATGTGAAGATTTTCAAAATTTGAAATCAGTAAACAACGTTTTTCGCAATAAATTCGCAAGTGCCATACCTTTTTCGCATTTATGTCTCATTATTAGATTTATGCATTCTGCTCACTAAAACTGCATTCAAATTTTTTTGTAATTAAGCTGTTTTCTCTTACACATGTACCGTCCAAACGGAGTTTTCTGGGCTTCTGTCGTTTACTCCCAATATACTGACTGAAAAACATTACATTTTTCAGAACTTATATTCCCGCCTCTACATCTGAAGGCATCTTAGTCCGCTTTTTTGGTTTCCTTTCATAAAAACGTGCTGTATTTTCGTGCGAGCATCTTATTCTCTTATGCTTCGATCATAACCACATAGAGCTTCGTCTCCTCACATTTTAAGTCTTAACGATCTTGCTTCCTAAAATACTTCTGCTGACGCCCCTCTCGACCGTATTCTGACCAAACACTGAAACCATTTTTGCGTTAATAACAGAACTCAGATTGAGGTTCGCAAAATGTCACCACAAAAAATTCGCTTACTTTGAACTTTTTTATGTTATACTATCCCTGCCTTCCTTAAACAATCGAATGTCAATCCGTGCTCTAACCGCCTTACAAAGTTTATTAATAGTATCCTTTATATTTCCTGTCCTCTTGATTCTCTGATGTTGAGACAGAAAAGAGCTTATTCTCCCTATCTGAAATTCTAAAGAGCAAAACTACAGGCTAGTGGCCGGTTTGTTAATCAGCATTTTACCTTTCCTTCCTCCCGTCCTTGTTATCCTTCGTCTTTTAAAATTTGGAGAAATCAGCAGTGTCTCAATGGCCATTGTGGCACACTGGTACATGTGGATGCCAACTTAGAGCCTTCAACCGTAAATTTAATTTTAAATCGCATGGGCACCTATCTTCCCTCAAATAGTATTCCTTACTACCGGATGTCTTCTCATCTGTGTCCGTGGCGACAGTAGGGAAACTTATTTAAACGGTCCTTGGATTGACAGCTGCCGGACTGGAGCGTGTCCCAACTTTTCTTCTTTAGTCTTACTCGTCTGAGCCAGCCCCTGTTTTACACACCTTATTAACATGTCTTTTATGAGGTCCAAGATTTTTCATGCCTGGCACCCAGTAAGAATCGCATCCTTTTTCAAATACTTTTTCTAAATCATTTCGTCCAATTGCGTGCTCCTCCGTATTGCTGAAGCTTGCTAACCGAGTTATTTAAAATACCAAAAAGTCATTCTCAGCCAGTTTATCCGATCCATTACAATTTGCACACAAGGCCAAGCGTGTTATCCTAGATGCTGTTCTTCTTCTGGTTCACTCTGCCCTACGAAAAATAGATAAATGTTGCCATGCGTGCGCATGTGCTTTTCTCGACTACTCCGCCGCCCTCAATACCGTTCCGCGCCCTCTTCTCATTACCAACGCATTCGCGTGTATTTCTTCAGAAGGGACTGCCTCTTGCCTCAACAATTACTTTGCTTCCCGCACTCAATTTGTCCAACCCGGCAAGCAGAAATCTACGGTCCTTCCCAATGGCTGGAGTTCTTCAAGACTTCATTTTATCCCCTCACTACTTCTACCTCCAAACGACTGTCTATTGCTTGCGTATCCGAAAGGCATGGTTGTTGGGCACCCTCTCAATACTCAGACATAAATCCAGTCACTGAAGGATGTCTTTGGCCATGTCCCAGTTTGACCGCAGGAAACTGGTCTCCTAATGAAAAATCAAAAATCAGTTCAGTGTTTTTTTCCGACTGCAACCTTTTTCTAGTCCTTTGTCCTCAAATCTTTCATATTCCCTACATATTGAGTCCCTGTTTACTTAAGTTCGTAAACTGCTTGATTGCATTCGTTGTTTACGCTCCTACCACACACCTAAACCCTTAATACAGTAGATGTGCTTACTCATGAAATGTCAACCAAAATTTCGAAATGCGTTCTCGTTTCGAAAAGATAAATTAAGTAGTGTTGTAAAACTAATAATTATTCAGCATAAATCTATAATGATCCAATTACCTCAAGGTGTCGGCTTTCCAAAGCACTTATTTTCGGCTGCATGCAGGATCTGTAATCTGCAAAGAATGACTACTGATGTAGCATGCAATTTTCTCATTGATTTTCGATGGCCTTGAAAATTCAATTATATTTTATGGAAAACACGCATAAAAATATTCATTCTTTTACCTATTCGGTAGAAAATCACGTCTTCTTCCAATTTCATACTCAAAAGAAGAGTATAATTCGGTTTTAAAAATTTTCTAATTGTGAGATATTTTAATACCGTTAAAATGGCTTTTATGAGACGTCATGTATCTGCATTTACGAATGTGGCTTGTAAAGTTAACAATATTGCTCAAATCCACTGCTTACTTTTATGAACCTTATATGGTTTCCTCTCAACACCGTAGAGAAATGCATGGTTTTCCGTACACGGAAAATATACAGCTAGTAGTTTTGAAACCCTAAATGCAAGTGTAACAGCAATTCCGGTTCAAAATTATTAGGGAATTAGAAAAGTTTTTTTAAAACCGAATTATACTCTTCTTTTGAGTATGAAATTGGAAGAAGACGTGATTTTCTACCGAATAGGTGAAAGAATGGATATGTTTATGAGAAGGCGAAGGCACGATCACTGGGACGGTAGGTTTATTTGCCTGAGCTTTCGAACTCGAACTAGAGTTCATCATCAGAGGCTACTCGAGTGCAGCAAATTGTGAACATTTATATCGTTTATCCTTGCGGGGGGGGAGGGGGAGTACGTCCGTGGCAGAGTAGGGTTTGTGCCGCCTGGTCCACGATGTTCCCCCGGCGTGGTGACGCCCTTTGCACTTCGCGAAGGTGTGAGCTGCGCCACCTGGCTGCGTGGGCGGAGCGCGTGATAACACGCAGGCAAATCGATGTGTCTGTTGATGGAGTTGGTGTCCGATACCCGCGCCTCCAAGAGCTCTCACCCTGTCTTGTTGCCGGCTCGCGCCAATATCAGCGTGTTGGCGAAGTCGAACTCATGCCCTTCCTCGAGCGTGCGAGTGGCTACTTGAGGCAGTCGGTCGCCTCTCCGAACGGCCCGTTTGTGCTCAAGTATTCGTGAGCTCAGACGTCGTCCTGTCTGGCCTATGTGAGGGCGCTTTTTGACCGGGTAAAAACGCACTGTAGCGAGCCCGAAGGAAGGATGCAAGAACTACGGCATCTCCGGGACCAAGTTACAAAGAACGGCTACCCAAATTGCTTTATCATTCGCAGCATACGCGCACACCCAAGCCGGACAAACGGAAGAGAGACACCAACAATTTGGCACTCTCTACCGTACATAAAGAATGCGTCCGAGGCTACAGAACGCATCGCTACAGATTGTCTGTTAATTAAGCATGCGGATGATGTGGATGATGACCACCCTCCCAGAAGTCAGACTCATGTCCAGTCTCTGAAGAATGGCCTCAACCATGTCTCTGCGGGGTCACCTCAAAATGGTTTCCTACTGAATAATCAAAAATCCATCCAGTGTATTTTTCGACTGCGATCATCTCCTAGTTCAGAATCCTATGACTTCCTTCTCAACGTGGTAGTCTCTTTCAAGTGCCTTGATGTTACTTTGTCAGTAAATCTTTCATTTCCCCATCACTAAAATTGAGGAAAATGCTTTATTGCATTTTTCGTATACGGCGTCGATTACGCTCTCTTAGTCGACAGTCTCATTCAACGATATTTCAAAACGGTTAAGTAATTATAGATGACGTTGCCTATCCCTTGCATTTTGAACAAATAACTGCAAAGTCCCCCCGCCTAATGCGCCGTGGTTTTCCACTCATTTCTTGCCGTTCGTGGTACGCTATCTCACGTACAAATTGAACGAAACACAGAAACTTGGACTTGAATTGTCCCCCTAATATTTGTTCTTTTCCGACAGTCCGACCGTCGAATCCGACGATGTTCATCGTATGCTGACTATTTGGATATGCATTTTCAAAGCGAATCGAGTTTCACCTCACCCTCGTCTTTGTGATATATACAAGCGAATACAGGCAAACATGGAATAAGAAGAAGTAGAATATGCAGATGAGTATGTATGTGTTAATAAGAGTCAGGTAATCCAAGTGAAAGTAATTGCCGGCGATCCTTTCAGAAAACGTCGACGCCAGTCAACCTGGAAACCGATCGAACCCAGCCTGATTTGCCAACAGTGGTGAAGGAAATAATGCAAGTAATAAATTCTATGAAGAAACACTACGGAAGTTAAAGTCTTGGAAACGGTTACCATACTTGATTGTCCCAACATGTAGGCTAATTCTTGTACATCAATTAATTTCAACCATTTTGCCTGTGACTTTTTTATGAGGCAGGTTTGAGGGCAACTCACAAATGCACACGAATTGGCCGTGTTAGACTGTTCTGTATAAATGATCGAGTCAGGGCGTGACTGACAAGCGAGCAAAAAAGACGCAAACACACAACTCATTCAAATGTAGTAGGTAGTAGGTATATATATATATATATATATATATATATATATATATATTATATATACCCACATTTCATAATCAAGTTCTGAAAGTAAGTTTTCAAAAACCAGAAGGCAATCCCTCTTTCAATAAAATATTCAATGATGGAACAAGAAAAACACTTGACATTTCAGTTATGGTGAACGGTAACTATGAAGTGTTTTCGATTCGAAAATATAATTCTGCACGGTTGTTTGATTAATCACCGTGTATAATGATTCCAAGATAATTCAGTCATGACAGAATGCGGCCCTAAGACCAATTTCTTTCCCACCGCCTGCAAAAACTGCATTCTGCAAAAATGACTACTTACGCAGTGTGAGTACCTCCTATGGATTTTCCATGCCCTTATGAACTCAGATAAATTTTGTAGAAATCATGCATATAAAGCAATCGGTCTTTTACCCATTTGGCAAAAAATCGTGTCCTCTTTAAAATCTACACTCCAAGGAAGGGTACAATTTGACTTATAAGAACCTATTCGATTCCGCCATTATTTGAAATCTGACCCGCCGTTACATTTCCATTCAAAGCTCCAAACTACAAGCTGTATAATTTCCGTGTAAGCGAAATCATTCAAATCTATAAGCTATTCAGAAATATAGTAAGGGATTCGTAAAATTCTGCAGTGAATTAGAATTATATAGAATACTTCAGGAACAACCTTAACAAATGCACATATAGGATGTTTTATTAATGGAAATTTCACGGTCTTAAAAAATGTCATAATTAGCACCGTCTGTAAAACGATGGTTATTATTTCCTCCGAAGTACACTTGAATTAACCGGGCATCGAAAATTAACAAAGGAATTTTACCAATAGAGTCGTCATTTTCGCAGAATTTGTTTTTGCAGACGGCTTTAAAGGAGCTCGGTCAAATCCCGCAGCCAGATATGACTGAAATATCCTGCACGGTAATTAATGTTAAAACCGCACTTAAGTTTGTCTTTCGCGTCAAGTACATTTTTTTAAAATTTCGTTTAACATTTCATAAGATAGCATATTTAAAGTAGTTCTGAGATTAGCAGGCATGCATGGCAGATAAGCATTCTCTCCTACCTAAATCGACTCGCACAGATTGCGAACAATATCAGGACGACCCGAGATGGTCACGGTCGCGGTGGCGGACGAAGTTGATCGGTCTGTCTACGCGTGCCACACACAACCTCCTCCTCACAAAATTTGCTAGGTTCTCACGAGGGCTGCTGGGATCTCGCATTATTGAAGCAACCAAAGAACCGACAATTGGAAGGAGCCCCTGAACGTTATTCAAGTTCCAATGCCTAAGCGTGATTGTAATACGGAACCTGCTAAATTTGCTATGGCATCTGACATGTCCAATATGACTTGGGGTTGGTAAATGCTGAGCCAAAAATAACATACAACCACACTTGCTGCGCGCGTAGCACACAAAGTGCGTATCACATATCTGAGCATCTCGGTACGCCCAATGAAAATGCCGCTTCGCTGTGGGAGTGTGACCCATCCGTGCGTCCATTACTAGGCCAGAATTCGCAAGATTCATCGGCGTAATGACCAAGAGAATGCCGGGGGCTGTGTGTTCGTGAGCGATTGGGGTACAAAGGAGCTGATGCCGGATCACATACTGGTGCTGCGGTATGCAACTTCATTCAAAATAGTTGATGCCAAACCTGTAAACGGAATTGCAGCGGTGGAATCTAACCTCCGTCAAACGGAATCGACAGAAGAGTGCAAAAACCTCCTCCGGCACAAATCGTCTTCTCTCCTTATTGTTTATATGCCCCGCGAGTTACTGTCCTATGTGGAACGTGTTGTACTAAGGAAATTCAAGGCAGGCAAATACCTCAATATCGTGTCTCTGGTAAACTGGCTTTTCTTCGTCGTTTCGGAAGGGACAGACTACTTTCAAAAAGCCAAAAGTTCACTGGACAACTGCCAGTCATGTGGTTCTAGCGCAACCAAACCCGTAAAAAGTTGACACGATAAATCAATGCAGCGCTTTCGACATTGAGAAACTTGAGTCAAATAATGCCTGTCGTGTGACTCATGGCGAGAGCCCAGGATATGGATCTGGGTCGTTAATATGGACTTCCCAAAGTACACAACGAGGTTGTTCCCCTAGGACCCATCGTATCACTCAAAGATACTGCAGCATACGGACTAGCAAATGACTATTTCGGTCTCTCAAATCTCTAATCGAAAATTAAGACACTTTAAGAAGGAGACACGATCGCTGGAACAAGAGCTTTATTAGCCTGACGTTTTGGATTCCTGTTCATACACACCATCAGAGATGGTTGCCTCCGGTCTGTGTGCAACTCCAACTCCAAGTGGGGTGAGAAGGCTGCCGACAGCTTCCGAAACGTTCTTGACATACGGAAGCGCTGGCCATAATTTGGTGTCCGTGCGGTTAGGCCTTTCGTCCATTTTGTGTATGCATCGGTTGACGAGGTTGCGCGGGGTAGCCGGTGGCTTTGAAGACCCGTCGGAGGTATTGTAGTTCGGCAATCTTGTCATCCGGCTAACTGCAGTGCGTTTTGACACGCCGATAGAGCGTCCTTAGACAAATACATTTGTGAATGATTGGGTGGTTGCTGTTGAAGTTCAGCACTTGCATCGTATTTGTCGCCTTCTCGAACACTTTGGTCTTCTGTTCACCATAATCTTTGCGGCATGTGAGGACATCCAGGAAGGCCAGCTGGTTGTTCGCTTCCTCCTTCATCGTAAATTGAATGTCCGAGAAGACCGCATTTAGATGTTCTTTGAATGTCAGCAGTTGATCTCGGTCGATAAGGACGAAGTTTTCATCCACATACCGGGTCCAGAAATTCGGTATGTGGTTTTAGAAGACCAACGACTCTAACCGTTGCAGGACCGCCTCGACGATGAATCCCGAAATCGGCGAACTCATTAGTGTGCCCTTCACCCGTTCGTAGATTGTTCCGTCGAACATGAAGTACGTCCTGACACAGAACTTGAGGCGTTGAAGGACTTGGGCGTGTTCAAGGAAAATCTCCATTTAATCGTATTTGCTCTGTAGAAGCAGCTCGATTTTTTCGATCGCCAGGTCCCGGGGAATAGAAGTAAAAAGGAACGTAACATCAAAAGATACCATGACATCATTCGAATGGAGCTTTACCCCTTTAAGTTTCTCTAGGAATTATGCTGACGGAGAGACCGTGGTTTCTTTCTCGGCGATCAGTATGTTGGAGCGCCGTAACAGCCACTTCGCCAGTCCGTACGTTGGAGTCCCTTTAAGGGACACGATGGATCGGAGAGGAGCGCCTTCTCTGTGCAACTTAGAGAGGCCCTAGAATATGACCAAAGCCGTATCTTGGGTTCTCGCCATGCGTCTGTCGTCGGTGTTATTGCACCTGACTTTTCCAAGGCCAGCAACGTAGTATTAATTTCGCTTGTCAGCGCTTTCAGTATCTTTCAGGGAAAAGTAGGTGTGTACCTTTTGCAGGCTTCGTCGGTCATCCAAAAAGCTCTTCAAAAATCCAAACGTTTTCTGGGCTTGGTATGTGCATGATACGTTTTCCATTGTCGAACTGATATTAGATACTTACCTTCAAAAAACGTCCCAATATCATCCTCCACGATAAACGATTCACGATGGAGGGAAAGGAACTAACCAGCTAGCCTTTCTTGATGTTCTCATCTGCCGCAAAGATTGTTATGACCTAAAGACCAGACTTTTTCAGAATAAAACAAACGGCACATAGCAACTGACTGATTAGTCATAAGCGCAGTTACGTAAGCACGCTATATCAGCGGTGTGTTGGGACGCATTGCGGTGAACCAGAAGACGAGGTTGCCGAATCTCAATGTCATTGACGGGTGTATAGATTGAATGGCTACCCGCGCAACTAAATCAATTAGTGACTGTGCAAACGAGATGAGAGGCGAAATTCATCCGACTCAAATATTGGCGCGCAATTTCGTACAACAATAACGTCTCAGCGACCGTCAGCACCTTATAGAACCACATGCATTTGAAGTTGCACACAGACCGAAGGTGGCAATTAGGCGTCAGGTGATGAGACCAAAAGGCCAAAACATCTTGAGCTGTTTATCGAATCTGGTGTGGTTGCGGGTAATGCAAATACGTCGGAGACACTGAAGGACTGCTCCGAACGCGAATTACCGAACAAGCGACTGCAGTGCGTAGAAATGACGCCAGCTCGCAAGTCGCGGCCCATTCGACGATACTCAGTCCCGTACATTCAAATTCGATTGCGGCTTACTTTCTTAACAGCTGCCATTAGGCAGACATCAACCAAGCATCTCACGTCATCTATAAATTGCCAGCGAAGGACTCCACGTTCCTGCGACAGCTAATACTTGGGACGGCAGTGGTAGTGACCGTACGGTTAGTCAACCAAACGCTGTATTTTCAAAAACCGATTTTACAAGCGCTAAGGCTTGCCTGGTGAAAGTTAAACCCACAATAGGTTGATAAACAATCGAGGCGTGCGTTTGCCGGCCTTGAATGTCCGAAAGCTAGTAGGCCAAAACGCCGAATAGTTTGATAACTTGTCTGGAATAGACGGGTTAGTCAGCAGGGCGAAACTCCTTTCTCAAAAATGCATTCGAAAATCACAATGATCTTTTTGTGTATGTCTGATTCTTATTAGACCTGCTTCTGATCTCCTGCCATTGATATTCAAAGCAGAAGTACTCTCTCTTTGCCTGCCAGTGAGTGAGACTAAATAGGTTAATCATTTTCCTGCCACAGGTAACGGGCTTAAGCCTGTCACCGTGACGAAAAGCAATGACCACAGTCTTCTCCAAAAATCACGGAAGGCGATTTGCGCGTGTGGATTAGATTGCAGTGATAGCATACTTACACACTCTTCCCCTTACCCACACCGCTCTGGTCACGAGACAGTTTCTGAAAGGCCGAAGTTGTGATAGGGCGAAGAGGCTGACAAAGTTAAACAGTCTGCAGGCATCAACTACACACACCTGGTCGGCTCACGATGGACGAAGTTTGCACTAAAGGGAGGGAGGGGGCGGTGGACAATGTGTAGGCGAACGGAGGTGGTCGCGGCTGCGGTGTCTGATAATGTTGAACGACCCGTCTGCGTGTGCCACACGCAATCCCGTCCTCGACTGCTGGGAGTTCGCATATGTGAGACTATCAAACGGACCACATTTGGAAGGAGGCCCTGGGCGTCGTTTACGATTTCTAGTGCACGCTTGCAGCCTCAGAGCGCGAGAAATATGTAGAAATGAGGCACGAGCTCAAGTGTTGTGGAGACGGCGTAACTAGAGTCAACCTCACTCCCCCATTCGTTCTCGCTTGCACCAGTACATTGTCGAGCCAGTCAGCCATTCGATGGTGGGATCGGGCGAAAATGGTTGAGGCAATATGAGCCTGCATATTGGCTTGCCACAACAACCCGTAAACGTGAAATTCGTCGTGGGCTGCGCTGTGTATGCGTTGTCGAAGTAACGCCCATCACATCCATCTCGTGGTCTGTCGCAGGGGCCACGAATGTAACAGACGTGCACAGGATTGAGTATCATATGCCAGGCGTAGGTATGTGCAGGGCGTAATCAGATCGAGAGGCTGATATCCTGACTTTTCGTCGAAATCTGTCCAAACAACGAATAAATTGTATGTTAAAATGCTAGTAACGGAATTCCCAAAGTTGTTGATTTTGGTGAAAAAAAACAAGGGAACAAACAAAGGAACCATCGAGTACTCGAACGATTTGGTATGCTTCATCTTCCTCCCAATGAATGCTTTGATTTTCATATTCGCATGACATGCACCCACCGTCGCTGCCATTTCACGACTTCTGCTGTTGCATTTCCTTCTATGGAGATATGGATCTGAATCCTACATTCGATAAAAATTCATCCCGTACTCAGTGTCCATTGGAAGACAGTGACAGTTGGATCGCAGATTCCGACGATGTCCACAACAGCAGGGACGCAGACAATTCGATCAAGCAAATTTTTATGTTCACTAGACCGTCTGTCGACTCTGCATCATGCAGATCGACATAGACACAACAACTATGCGATCTCCGTCGATGCCGTGGGAGATACATGCGATCCTTGCCCTTAGTGATGTAAGCCATCACATCTGAAATAAGGCCTCGACTGCCACTGCGTAGCCACTCACAGCCTCACAATAGCCGACTGCATCAGGTCAGTAGACTTGCTGGTGCAGAAATCAAATATATTTATGTGAATAGCCGGCTTCGGCAGTCTATTAGAAAATTTTGCCTATCCTCTTCTCTGCAGTCTGTTTGTTCGCATATTTGGCGCTGGAAATAAACGTAAGTCCTGAAGTAAATAAATAAACACTTTAGATTTTACAATTATGTTCTGTCAAATGTGTGATATTTTACTTATGCAGTTAGCAGATGTGTAAATAAACCAAGCAAATCTATTTGTGTAAATCTTATTAGCCATCCACTGCGCCGCCAAATCAACCTATTGGACAGAGTTAGTTCGCAGAGCTAGTCTTAACTATTTGTTTATTTCCATGAGGATACAAAAGGATAAATGATGCCGTTCGCCAATGAACATGATTTCCAAAACAGGAGATTCCATTAGTTACGAAAGTTTGACGATTGTAGAACATATTAAGCTGAGACACATATGCATATGCACGAACTTCGCCCTATGCGAGCTCTCTCATCTCGGGATGTTCTAACTGTGTTCCACCTCTAAAGTAGCAGGTTCGCGTCTCTTCCAGTTGACAGACAATCTAACGGCGGTTGTGCAATCATAAATGTCTTCATTCTCAACATTTGACATCAGAATCAAAACAGCCGATGGACCTCGTTGCCAAAGTCACATTGTAGGCCTTCAGTTTAGTAACAACAGTAGCTGCAAACTGGTCAGAACAAGAGTCCGATCGACGTCTTCCAGACGTCTTCCCGACATCTTTGTAATTTGAATATTGACTTCGCCGACGAAAGCTTCATCTGCCAGGTACGTGTATTCGTTTCTTCAAATATATGAGCTGCTTTTCAGATTGCAGGATTTTGTAAAGATAGCAGGCACACTTTTACCTACCACAACATCCCAATGCAAATCCCCGTGCTCGTACACTATTTCCATCTCAGACCCTGTCTGCATATTTACACGGGACTTGAATTTTCTGAACACACAGTCCATTACAATGAATTCTACTACAGCCTCTGGTTGCCAGAGGAGTTAGAAATAAACCTGTTGTCCAGTTTTCCTACCCAGTGTGTTATGTAAAATGAACCAAGCAGAAATACCTATTAACTGTGTGCTGCCCTTTAAACAAGTGAAGACATCCATTATGTGTTTTGTTAAAATACGCTTCTTGTGTCTTTATGCTTGAGTTGTCAATTATGCGGTATCCAAATTAAACATGAACGATAGAGAAAGAAACACGTGGTCGAATTGTTAAGGCTAACAGCACTTCCGTCGCTCTTCGAACTGTATATTGATGATTAATTGAATTGTAGGGGGCGCTCACCGATCGTTCATACGGAACTAACTCTTTCCGTTGTGCCTTAAGGGCTCTCTCTCGATCCCAACCAGCAAACGCACAGTGGCGCATGATATATAGGCAGAATGGTATTACCGACAAAAAACAAGGGAGACTGGAATGGCCATTTCTGACTTATTAGCCGTCGTCAGCCAGCCATACTCAAGCCTGAAGATGGAACACCCCAGCATCGAACTAATTGCTGTTTAGACTCGAGAGAGAGCCCGTAAGGCACAACGGAACGAGTGAGTTCCGTATGAACGTTCGGTGAGCGTCCCCTACCATTGCATTTTCCCGATCGAAAACCGACAGGGCAACGGGCTCGGGGCTCAATGCTTAGAGGCGTGGACTTATAACAAACAGGTCGCGAATTCGAGCCTCGGGTGTGCCACATTTTGGGGTTGGGTATGACTGGCTGACGACGGATAATAAGTCAGAAATGGCCATTCCAGTCTCCTTTGTCTTTGTCGGTAATACGATTCTGGTTAATTGAGCTGTCCGCTATTTCTCTAGGGTGTAAGTTTGCTTGCGATGGATAAGTGCTTACCTCTGCAGGCACATGTTAGCCCGTCTGAGTAAGACGGATTTTGCATTCACTGGTGGTGCTGTTTGGTGGTGGTAGGAGCGAAGACGGCAATGTTTTTAGGTCGACTTACAGTCCATTCAGCAGCTGGGGGAAGTGAGTAGGAGGTTGTACGGCTGAAATTGGAAGCCAGAGCACCTCTGCTTTCGACCGTCGTGTGCTCAACTGTAGAGTGGGTGCAGGGACGGTGACATTTGCGTGATCTCATCTACAGTGGTAATAGACTTTCGCAGTATCTTTCACACTCCGTCCCCTGCCTTTGAGCGATACAATGGGTCAGAGAGGAGCGCACCCCTTGTGCAAGACCATACAACTTTACCAAGGCCGTTTCTCGGACTCTCGCCATGCGTCCGTCGGTCGGTCGATTTTTTTGCACTCGCGTTCTCCAGTGCCAACAGTGTCGCATTAATTTCAGTTGACAGTGTTTTTGACGGGGTCGTTTTTACGTGTGACATAAAAATAACGATCCGCCAGTAGGCTTTTGCTTTTCTAAAGGTTGTTTTTTCTGTCCAGTACGACGGCAGAAGGCCCCTTGTCCGCGGGAACGATGACGATGTCCTTTTCGTCCTCGAGGTCCCTTAGTGCATCGCGTTCGCCTTTTGTGAGTGTTTCGCGAGACTTGTTGATTAGGCATTGAAACAGTTGCAGGTCTGCCGAGACCCGCTCTTTGGAGGCACTAGCTGTGGATTCGGGAAGTTCCTGAATGATCAGACATTGCCCTCTGACCGGCGACACTCTCGAGATCACAGTGGTTTCGTGCCCCGACAAAGGCAATATGTGGTTGCCATGATCTGACGATGATAAATGCCGCAGTCGATTAAAATCCTCATCTGTCTCTGTCTTGTTTGCATTTTCATCAATGGGGAAGTTTTTGCGATAGGTTGAGGGTTTTAGGACCCATGCAATTTCGCGTGATGGGCGACACGGTCGCCAACGTCCCTGGTTTCGGTTCTTCGGGCACATTCCTCGGAATCTTCTGTCCATGTCCTTCGACCTTCTGACTGCACGATTTCTTTTTTTCCTCCGAAACTTGAGTTACATAGAAGGCTTATTTCGACTTCCATTCAACCTAACATCCATTCCTGATGAAGGAAAATGCAGCAATAATTTAGCAAATATAGTAGCAATGCCAATCTTTAATTCACAGGCGTTAGCTTAAAAGAGAGTGAGTGCTTGGTTTTATGCAAGTTCTTGTGGGAACATTTAAGTCGTGCGCTCCATATTTCACCAATTTCAGGGAAACTCAAGATGGCAGTTGAAAAGAAGATATAACTTTCTAAATTCCCCTCAAAACGTCCCATCGTTTTGGGAGTACGCTTACCGTTACATTGTCGGCAGATGCAAGATAGCTCGGTATGCGTTTGAACTAGTGTGAGCGAAAATTTCAATACCTTTCCAATCAGTCAACTACAGCAGCTGGCATTAAGTCCCGATTCACTGTAGAGATGTTGCACATTATATGTCTATTTTTATTAAATACAAAACACACAGTCACTTACTCGCGCGGTGCCATGAGCTCGCTTGAGTTGACTCGGCCGGAGCGTGAACCTTGACGACTTTCTGGACGCGTGTGCAAGCGTCCGTGTTTTCAGACTCCTGAAGGCAATAGCCTTTTGTGTAGGCAAGTCTCTTGGGTCGAAACGTCTGACCTGACAGCAGTAGCAGTAGCAAACGCCAGTCATTTTGACGCAGTCGTACCAGTGTGATTTCACACATACAGACGCTGATGTCATCTGGGAGATGCATACGCTAATTAGCCAACATTACCTTCAAATATTTTTCTATGAGTTGCCTGGGCCGACGTCTCAGATAGACTTGTTTTGGACCTGATAAGTTACCCCATTCAGTGGTCTCTCAAGGCAAACCTACTACTAAATGTACTGCCATCAAGGATTAACGTTTATGCTACACTAATAAACTTGATCTTTCGCCACACACAGACAGAATTACAGCCAAAGCTGTTCAGATATGGGGCTTTATTTCTTACAATTTCTATCTTCGTGAAATTAAATTAAGACTATCGTATGTTTTTACTTCCGATTCTCGAGTATTGTTGTCCATTCTTTGGCTTGATGAACAACGCTATGCGTTCCACAATATAAAATGCCCAAAGATGCTTTACTAGAAATGCTCTTGGCATGGAACATCCAAATATCTCCTACTCAGATATATGCCAGCTAATAAGCATAAAATGTTTATGGGTTCGAAGACTAAAAGCAAGCTTCTGTCTCCAATTTCGCATTAATGATAGTTCAAATCTACCTCGGATTTTAGCACTTACCCCTAGTAGTCGTCTATACAACCTTCGCAACTCTTCCCTGATTATACTTCCGCCAGCTTCCTCCACCTCTAAGCACTCTCTTTTTTTCATCTTCAGGCATAATTTCGTCTTGAATAAACTTCCAATAAATATAATATCTTCAGATAATCTACACATTTTTAAGAGAAAGCTACGCATTTATGTGGGTACTGACTCCGTTGAACCTCTATTCGCATCATCCTTCCCGGACAACTTTCTCTACGACACTGAGAAAGGCCAACCGGGAATTTAGGACGCCGCCACTAAATTTCCGTATTCGCTCGCACTTCTTTTTTGTGAATCCAATCGCCTCCTAGGATCCTCAATCGGATATGTTAATTTTTCGATTTTTCAGTTCAGACATCGTGCCCTCATAGAATGCGATCTATCGGCGCTCTTGGCAGAGCCTTCTGTATATGCCATACACCAGTTGTCTGGTCTAACCTCCCTTGCACCCTCCTCGGCTGGACTTGGTTGAATGTAAACGACCGCAGCTGGATCCCTTTCGCCTCGAGACTGGTTTTCTATTCGCCACTTTGACATGAATGGCCTCATCCGGCATATGAATTCTGCCTTGATAATGCCCGTTTCGAACCTCTTACTCAAGACCACATACAGGCCAGTCCTGCCTGACCCGCTAACTTACACCTTCGTGAAATCTGTTATACAATGCCCTTTACAGTCCGGTCCTGCCTGATTTATATATATTAGGGAGCGACCATATTTTCTCTAACAGTGCTAATCCGTTCATGCTCATATTGTTTATGTTAGGAGTTTTTATTCACTGCTGGCTCAGCATTCTTCGTAACATACTACATATTCAACAACTATGAATTAAGTATTGTATAGATTCCGTATACCTGTTCTAAAATTACTTTTAAAGTTATTCTTACTTGCTATGAACGGAATCACACGGTACTGAATAACAATCATCATTATTATTGAATCCTAAAGCCGAAATTCCTTGTTTCTCTAATAGGTCTGTGGTGAGGTATCGGACTAATTTACCTTTGAAAATTTAGCCCCGTTTTCTTTGCCCGGATTTTTTGTTTGAATGTGACGAAAAACAACACACCTATACAACCGCCTTGTAGGCCTTCTTTGCTGTCGCGCTCTGTTCTCCGTTTTCTTAACGTTTAGAATCTCTACATTATTCACTGCTCAGTTTTACTTGCTGCCTTTAGGGCTCTGGGCTCGTGAGATATAACTGGAGAGTTCGTGAGAACATTACCATTTACCTCATTGGTGACTCCCAAAGTTAAGGCACACTTTTTACCTTTCCATTTCATACTGAATAACATTAAGCGTACTGTTTTTGTGAATTTCTATTTCTTTTACGTCCAGTTTTCTCACCAATTCTCATATTTTACCATCTCCGTCTTAATTATTATTTTTCATTGCAACCAACAGCTTGATGCCCGTGTCCAGTCCCTTGATGCCATCCATTTTACCTTGCCTGGATTCTGACAACGCGCTCCAGAACTTTATTTCATCCGCGTCGAATCAGCTTTTTATTCTGCTAGCGTTACCAAGGTCCTGGTCAAAAATAACAAACTTGCGGAAGTCCTCACCGCTAGTGTCATCTCTCAAATTCAGTCCTTGCTATCTAATCCTCCTGAAAATGCTCCCTATTCCACGTTAAAGGCAGAAATTCTTCGACTTACTTCTGTGTTCGACCGACAGCGGTATCACCAGTTTCTTAAAGAGGAGTCACTGGGTGACCGGAAGCCCTCAGATCTTTTAGTTCGAAGGCGTTCTCTCCTTGGAGACATGCAGGCTGATGATAAATTCGTCAAGGAGGTGTTTCTAGAGCATCTGTCTGCAGATAGTGAAACGATCTTGGTGTTCGGTTCTCAAGATCTCACAGTCTCACCGCTGACTGAAATGACGGATAAAACGATAGACTTGCAGCAGCGGTTAGATCACAGTTGGTAGACAGGAATGGGAAGCGGACGGCGACCTAACCCTAATCCTAACCCCAACATTAAACGTTAACCGTTAACCCTAACGGCAGCCCCAACCCTAACCCTATTTGAAATTGTAAATGCAAATGTAGCTTTTAGGCATAGGCGTAACTGGAAAACCTAACCGCAATACTGAAACCAAATCGTACGCTCAAACCCTATCCGTAACCCGAAAACCTAAGCCTAAATGCATAACCCTAACCCGAAAATCGGAAACTATTAACCGGTACCCTAATCCAAACCTCGACCGTAAAACGGAAGCCAAATGGGTCACATGTCATTATAAGGCTCCACAAAATAGCTCCAGTAAACAAACTCTTCAGTCCGCTTCTTCAGATTCCCGTCGCCCCTGGACACATTCTCAAAACCGCCATTACCACACCCTTCGGTCTCTTCTAATTCATCCTCCTGCCGTTCAGTCTTCGTTATGTCGCCTTAAGGTTCCAGAGTTTCATCGGCCATGTCTTACCTGGCATACCCTTTGTGCACGCCTACATTTATGACCTCTTGGTGGCCAACCGGAATGAGCTAGATCATCTTGCCTTGGTTTTTCACCGCCTTGACAAGTTTGACGTTGTCATCAAGCCCTCCAAATGCGCGTTGGGTGCGCCCTCACCCGAAGCCCTTGATCATCAGGTCAACAATGAAGGTCTGCGTCAATTTCCACCGAAGGTTGAAACAGTTCATAATTGCCCTCCACCAACTTTCAAGTGTCAGTTACGGCGATTCGTCGGCATGGCCAATTTTTGCCGCCGGTTCCTACCAAACTGTGCTGACCTCATGTTGCCGCTCACCAACATGTTTTTTGGTCGGATATGGTTATGTAAACGAACATGAAGTAAACATACCCAGCCATCTGCAATACGGAAGCGGTGGTATTGGAGGCTTTTACATGGAGGGGGGGGGAAGGAGGAAACCCTCAGGCGACGAGGTCAAGTAGTTTTATGGTTGAGAAATATTTGTCCTAACCCCTAACCCTAACCTTAACCACCAGCCATAACCCTTACCCTAACCCTACTCCCAACACTAACCCTGTTCCTGACCCTTTATTTCTAAGTTTAACCCTTAAACGCAATCCCAAACCCAAGTCCTGAAACATCTAACACGAAAGTTAGAAGGAGACGACAGGCCGAAAGTCAAGGAGGTTGACCGGCATTGGTAGACATCGAAGCAAAGGAACGTGGCCGCCATCAGAACACACACACCGCAACACACAGCGGCTACATACCCATAACTTACGAAGTGTTTCATAACTTATACTTCGTCCCTGGGTCGGTTGAACACCGTTTCCAAAGCATGCAAGTCTTCCCTGAGACAGGGGTGGCCATCTTCGAAGTCAGTCAAATAACCCCTGTCAAGGAAAAGAGAGAGGCTGTTGCAAGATTCAAGTTTAACCGACCGATGATGCGAGCAACCAATCACCGCCAACGTGGCCACATTGTGAAGGGGCACTCCGGGCAGGGCCCACGCGTGAAACTCCCATTACCATCATTGTCATATGGCACGATCAATATTCTACCAACAGCTATGTGGAATCCCTCACCCTACCGTTTCCAACAATACCACTTATGCCCCTACCATCATCACCAACAATAATGTACACTCAATTCAAACCCATTCCAATTATGACACCACTTTCCTACAATTCATAGGTTTCGTCAATGACTTGTAACGGGCAGATCACGGATTTCTTTTTCTTGCATGCACATTCAGTGCACATACTGCACAAACGATAGGACAATCATCCAGACACAAGAAATGTATTTCAAAAAATCACAGAATGGATGTATTCACCCATTTAAAGGTAACAACAGTGTCAATATGTCTTTCCCAGTGGATCATTTTTAATAACACATTGGACAGGAAAGCCGGACATAAGCGCATTCCCGAAAACAGACAAGAGATTTATTTTGACTTCCTCTGGCAACCAGAGGTTGTAGTAGAACTCGTTGTAGTACATTATGTGTTGAGGAAATGCAAGTCCGGAGTGGACTCGCAGACGCGGCCTGCGCTGGAAATGACGAATGAACAAGGTGATTTGCACTGGGATGTTGTGGAAGATAAAAATGCGTCTGCTTACTTCACTGAATCCTGTAATCTGAAAAGAACTCATGTATTTGACGAAACGGATGCATGTACCTGACAGTTGAAGCTTATATTTGCGAAGTCAACATGCATGTCGCATTGGTGTTGGGAAGAAGACCTTCGCAATACTCTTCTAACTAGGTTGCAGCTACTTTCGTTGCCGAATTGAAGGCCTTCAATACGGCTTTGGCAAAGAGGTCCACCGGCCGTTTCTATCCTGACGTTATTTGTTGAAGTTGAAGACATGTAAGATTGCACGATCGTTGTTAGATCGTCTGTCATTTGGATGGGACACCAAGCTGCAAGTTGACAAGAGGCACACAATAAGACCAGCTAATGAAGCGCGGCCGCCTACGGGACCAGTTCTCAGCTTAATCTGCGTCCCACCCGTAAAAAGTCCGGAGTAGTTGAGCTAACTAGCGAAACCTTGTGTTTTGCAAGCTATGCCTCTTTGCATCCTGGTGTAAATAAATGCATAGATAAGTCTTAATCTGTGAGCTAACTGTTTGGTGGGTTGATTTGACTGAACTGTAGGTGGATAATAAGCACAAGGCAATTCAAATAGTTTAATCGTACATCCGCTATTTGCGTAGTGGAATATACTGTAAAGATGACATAACATGATAGTGAATTCTGAGGTTTTCAATTGCACCAATGCTTACGTATATATTGAATGGAACCAGATGCCAAGCATAGGTACAATCCTAGTGCAAAGAAGGTAAGCAACATTTTCAAGTAGATTTCTGTGGACGGATATTTATATACATATATGTGATTATAACACCCTCCAAGTCCAGTGAACCGATGCCATCGGCTATCACGAGGTTCTGAATGGATAGGCAAAGACGGCCTAGGCCTAGTTTCGGATGTGTGGTGAGCTGATGACAGTTAGGGCAGGTCGTTTTGAAACGACAGCTCAGACAACTCTAACAGAAGCAGTTGATGTTAATCATAGCTGGACAGCATGTTATCGTCCCAACTAGCCTCACTGCTTGTGAGCACGAAATCACGCTGGCAAGAATGCGACAAGTTGACTGACACTCGCCGGTGTTGTTGTTGCTGCCATAAGGTCGGGCGTGTTGACCCACCAGACGTGTTCACCTCATAATCAAACCCACCGACAGCTAGGCCTACACAAACGGTCATTGCTTTCGGCGTCTGCAAACGGGGTCGCAGGCATACGCGTCCAGAATGTCGTCAGGGTCCACGCTCCTACTGAGAAAACCCATACTCGCTCACAGCGCCGCGCGAGGGAGCGACTCTGTGTATCATCTTAAATAAATACAGACCGTTTATGAGCCACTGTGATTTTTGAGGAAGATGAACAGGTCGACTTGGTGACCAGTCGTATTAATGAGAAAACACATGTATAAGGCTGGTGGACACAGCGTCTCATAGTAAACGTTCAACGTCTAGTAATCAGCAGTTCCAACCCCTATATAATCCAGACCAGTTCTGTCCCCGTATTCTTGGGTTATTTGCGCTATTTCAGCAGTTGTGACAAAAGTTGCGTCTCATAAGTTGGACTGTTGGCCACATCCTCTGGCAAACCATTTGGGTCTCATAGCGGGCTAGATCGGAGATGTGCTAGACCAAATCAGGAGTCCGCTTGACTCGAAACGTGAGTCAGTACGGCTGCGCAGGGTCCGTGTGAGCTCATTACTACTGCTACCGCACGCGAGGGCAAGTGGGGACGGCCCGCATTCGTTCTGCGTCAGTCATTGTGCTCGATCCGAACAGCATCTGATTGATGTGCCCGGGAAGTCATCTGGTGCATGGGGGGGGGGGAGAGCGTGCGAAGCCAACGCTGATGAGTCCGTAAACAGGGAAAACCGGCACGCTCCTCACTAATAACTAAACTGGCGCATTGGAGTCCATCACAATGCGCTGTCAGTCGTGGTTTGGAAGGCGGCCAAGTGATGGGATAATTCAGTCACCGCAAGGAGACTGGGAGTCGGACTCAAGGCTTCCTTTCTAATGTGACTTTAATAGTCACCGTCATTGGAGATCCCAGCCGCTCTTACGAACATCTGGCACATGTTGTGCGGGCGGGACTGCGTGTGGCACGCGCAGACAGGTTGTTCAGCTTTGCTGGCCACCGTGGCCGCGACCACTTCTGGTCGGTGCAACGTCACACATGAGGACATGCAGTAGGTGGAAGCATGTCCTTTTTCCTGCGAAGCAAAATGGTCAGTCTGTGTTAGGCACGTAGGCAGCAGATGTGCCAGGATGTAGATGGAATGTTTACCGAAATTCTGAAATGCGTTTTAGCATAAAAAATATTGCTTAAGCAGAGATGCTTTGTTAATCACCGTGCTGCATAATTCTATGGTAATTCAGTTACGGCGAGATGCTGGCTTTCGAACGAAATTCTTATCATCTTCTTGCAGAAACCTGTATCCGGTAAAAAATGATTACCTATGAAGCGTGAATTTTTCTCATCGATTTTTGATGACCTTATAAATTCAAACATATTTCTTAGAAAACGTACGTATAAATTTTCACCGCTTTAGTCATTTCGTAGAAAATTGTGCCTTATTCAAATTTTATACTTGAGGAAAATGCATTAGTCTGCATAAAAGTAGTTTTCCGGTCATGATAATCTTAAAGAGCGTGAAACATCCCGTCTCTGCATTTATTTATGCTGCTTGTAACGAATGTACTATGTTCAACACCCAATGTTAAATTTTATGAATTCCATATAGTCTCTCGGTAATGCACTAGAGAGATATGTGGCTTTCCATTCACGGCAAATGTACAACTTGTAATTTGGAAACCCTGAATGCAAATGTAACGGCTGGTCGGGTTCAAAATTATTCAGAAATTGGAAAACGGTCAGATATAGTTATATAGTCGCACCTGAGGTAAACCAGCCCTGGTGGCCTGCAATGCGCGATCGGTTATAATAGGATTTTTTACAGGCTTTCGAACGAAATTCTTATCAGCTTCTTGCAAAATTGTATCCAGTAATAAATGACTACCTTGCAAGCGTGATTTTTTTCGTTGATTTTTGGTACTCTTAAAAATTCAAATATATCTCTTTGAAAAGATGCGTATAAGTGTTCACACTTTTGTCATTTCGTAGAAATTTGTGTCGTCTTCAAATTTTACACTTCAGGGAAAAATATTAATCTGTTTTAAAAGAAGTTTTTTAACTATGAATTTTTTAAGATCGTGAGACGCCGCCCACAAAATATCCCATCTCTGAATTTACTAGTTTTGCTTGTAAAGAATGCACTATGGTCCGCACCCAATACTAGATTTTATAAATCCCATATACTGTTCGTTAATGCGACTGTCCATTCACGGAAAATGTACAACTTTTAATTTGGAAACCCTGGATGTAAATGCAACAACTGGTCGGGTTCAAAATTATTCGGGAATTGGAAAACGGTCAGATATAGTTATATCGTCGCACCTGAGGTAAACCAGCCCTGGTCGCCTGCAACACGCGATCGGTGGTAATAGGGTTTTTTACAGTTGAGGCCAGGGGACGCACAGGCGACGAGGTCAATTAATTGATACTGGGAATGCGCGCTTATACTTTGAGTAGTTGAGAAATAGTTGCCCTAACCACTAGCCCTAACCCATGTTGCCGACATGTAACAATTTGCAATACTTTTATAGGCAAGTTAATTTTCAAAATGTCTTTCTTGGTTGCAGACGGACGTCTCGTAAAACGCCAAAAATGCTTGAAGTTTGTCCTGATATCTGTGCTGTCTAATCTGCCACAAATTAGCCTCTGAATTCTTTTGCTAATGTTATTGCAAATGTCAAAGCGCATCATTTCGCCAATAAGTTTTCGTGCTCAAATAAATGTCCGCTCAGTGTACAAGAAAGATTATTAAATCCATTATAGGGTCGCTATTTAACTGTTCTCTCGAATGGGAAATTTCAGGCAAAATTTCATGTGAAGCTGCCGCAAGAAGGGAGCAAGAAATATACTTGATATTTCGTCAGTCACTAACGGCTACCTCTACCGTGTTTCACAACTGATGCAGAATTGCGCGTTATTTAGTTTTTGAATTAGAAGGCCTGCGCGACAGATGGGGTACTCTATCCCCCCCCTACCCACCTTGTACGGATGACAGATGTGGTAGCGGCCACGGTGGCCGAAAAGGCTGGACAACCCGTCTGCGCGTGCCACATGCAGTCCCGCCCCCCCAGCATGTGCCAGTTGTTCGTAAGGGCTGTTGGGATCTCCAGTGACCGCGACTGCGACAAACGGCTCCATTAGGATAGAAGCCTTGAATCTGGTGCCCAGTTTTTGCGAATAGCTAGTTCCTTAGTTAGTTACTTCGAGATTTGGACTTACTGTACGCTCTTAGAACCTTCCGGAATTAAGACTTAAATTTAATTCATCAATATCTTCCTCCCAACTAGTCTCCTGCAGCACATTCTCATAACTCTGATTTCGGCCTTCCTAGTTTTTTATACTTGCAAACTCAGAAAGTCGTATTATCTGAAGAGCAATGCGTCCAAATCTTCTACAAAGGCCGAGTTGCTTTTCTACTATTAGACATTGTTTCATCACTGCCTCAAAGCATTTGTTTAAATTTCTGCTCTCGGAAGCTTCTCGACCATACCTTCCCATTCAGCTCATTCAGTTACTTTCTGACGAAAGATCGTCATAAAAGCCTTCCCTTAATACTTACGCCTACGCTCTTTGTGTATTTAGAAACGTTATCCAGAGTGTTGGAGTCCGCACTAGTGTTCTAAAGTAACGCGCGCTTGGGATTCGAACGGGGGACCTCGGAAGTTAGAGCCTGCTTCGTTAACCCCTGCACCACCAACGCACGACTGGGCTGCACAGCTAAAAGCTTTGTTAATTCGTCACCGCAGGATCTGGTAGGATAGTCATGTAATGGTTGGCAAACGATAGCCTACAAGATGCATCAACTAGAGGAAGAAGTAAGAATTCTGAAGGAACTTATACGCAAGACTGTTTCTTCAGAGGACCGCCCGGTTTTGTCTACACAGAAGCTAAGTCGGAGTAGAGCGAGAGCCATCCTGTGTAAGGAATCCCCAGAAGGCAATCATGTGGTGAATAAGAAAACCGCTATTAGTAGTCGTGGCTTTCGATGAAAAAAAGGAATAAGAAGAAGAAGACGACACCTAACACCATGGGGAAAAGTCACCAGAATACGAATAAGAGTATATCAGCCTTGCCCGAAAAGCAGTTGAAAAATGAAACGAATGTAAATGTGCCAACGGATGAAGTGGAAGTTATGGGGCAGATGACGCCAAATCTTATTAATTCCCAGACAGTGTGCTCATTTCCGGAGCCTAACTTAGAGGGATTATCAATTAGCGCAAAGACATATGGCTTTGGACCAAGGTTAGAATTAGCTGTCACCGCGAATTCCCATGTCAACAGAGTTGAGAACCGAGCTGAGGAAGCCTCTAATTCATGGGGGTCAAGCTCTCCACAGAGCCGTCTGATGTGAGGCATTGTTGATCGACCACAGTGCGTAACTATTCACAATGCCTCAACAGGATCCGCGGACGAAATTCACGAGGACGTAAATACGAATATGACAGTCCCCTCCTTTTCTCGAGTCCCATTCGAGGAGGCCGTACGGCCAGCCAACGACGTCCAAATCGCAGAGGGGTGGAGGCATAGTAACAGAAAAAACTGCCCGACTGACTTGTAGTACGGAAGCGTTGTGTCTGACCATAAGGGCACCGGGCTCTCAAAGCCTCGATATCTTGACAGTATATCGCCCCCCGAGAAATGACCCTGACGCTGATGTCCAACTGCTGAAGGAGCTCAGATTATTTTCAACGCGGACGAACACTCTCATCGTTGGAGATTTTAATGCACCTCACATAAACTGGACCTCGGCCTCAGCCGACTGCTCTGAAGCAGCATTTGACCAGCAGCTACTGCGTACCACCGACAACCTTCTTCTCACCCACCCCGTAACGTTTCCAACGAGAGTTCGTGAGGGCCAACAAATGAACTGCCTCGATCCTGTGTTTACTAAGTCGTCTGACAACATCGACGTTGTGAATTGCCTCCTCCCGTTGGGTCAGAGTGACCATGTAGTTCTCATGTGGGAATACACCAAATTCTCCCTGTCTGCACAACCGCTCGATTACCGACCTAATATTTGGCGCGGCGATTTCGAACAGAGGAAAAAGGATCTTAGTCCTATCGACTGGGCATCCACTCTCTCCGGCGATGTCGAAGAGGCTGGCGTCAGTTCAAAGAGTAAGTCCACAACCTCATCTCCAACCACCGCCCAGACATGCGCAGAAGACTAACAAATAGAACACTCTGGTTGAATCCATCTTTAGAGAAGGAGGTTAACAAGAAGAGGAAGCTATAGAAAAGACCTCTGACGGACCGGACGCCAGAATCTCTAGGCAGTTATAAGTTACAGAGACATCGGGTCAAAGTGCTCATCGCCAGAGATCGGAAAGCTTTTGAAAAAATCTTTTGGACCGTGCCATGATGAATCCCAAAATCCTATACTACTGCATAAGACAGAGCACAAGGAACAAAGATCCCATCCCACCGCTGCGAACGGCTGAGGGTGTGGAACTCTCCGATGACAAGGATAAGGCTGAACGCCTCTCTCAGTTCTTCCGATCAGTCGTGACAATTGAATCTGATTTTTCTCACCCACTTATGAAGACGAAGAAACGCCTACTCTCGAAGCCGTCTTCTTCACCGAGACAATTGTTCGGAATGAATTATTAAACATAACAGAATCGACCTCCCAGATCCAGATACAATCTCGGCCAAGCTGCTGAACGAGTTAGCTCCAGAAATGTCCGAGCCGTTAGCCTCGATCTTCCAAACGTCATTTGTTACTGGATGCCTGCCCTCTGACTGGAAGTCCGCTACCATCACTCCGCTTTTTAAGGGTGGAAGTCGGGCGTCTGTGAATAACTACAGGCCAGTGAGTCTTACCTCCATTTGTCGCAAAATCATGGAGAAGATCATTAAGAAGGCCTTGATGACGTTCTTTCAGCAGCACCACCTCCTCTCCGATGTCCAACACGGCTTTCGAAGTGGTAGATCCTGCCTCACGAATCTGCTCTTTACGCTCGAACGCTGGACCAAAGCACGCGATGAAAGCAATGTGGTGCACGCAATCTATATTGACTTCAAAAAGGCTTTCAACAGTTTTCCTTATCAACGTCTATTGTACAAACTGCGCAACGTTGGAATTCGTGGACGCCTTCTTGCATGGATCCAGAGCTTTTTGGCTGAACGGTTTCAAAGAGTGCAGGTCGGGCGTCAACAGTCCTCAGATGTAAGCGTGGTGAGCGGCGTCCCAAAGGGCTCAGTCTTATGTCCCTCGTTATTCCTTGATTTCATAAATGACAGCCTCAAGGACCTAGACTGTGATGCCATCCTGTTTGCTGACGACATAAAATTTTGGAAATTTATTTACAATGCGGCAGACGCAGACCACCTGCAAGTAAACTTGAACAGGCTCGAAGACTGGTCGAAGCGTTGACTTATGCGCTTCAATATAAGCAAGTGCAACTTTCCACAACCCGGCAGCTTCAGAGCCTCCAGCCCCAGGACTTACTTTATACACGGCAAACCAATGAAACAGGTTGACAGTCAGAAGAACCTGCATGTATGGATTACAGCTTCACTCAAACCAACACTGCACTGCGTGAAGGCGGCTAAATCGGCTACGGCCACATTGCAACTCATTAGGCGAGCATTTATGGGATTTGATCCTGACTGCTTTTCCAAAAAAATTTTACACCTTCGTACAACTTCATCTAGAATACGCCATACGGGCGTTGAGAACTTGGACTACCAAGGATTATAACGTCTTAGAGAAGGTTCAGAGACGGGCGACCAAAACGACACAAGGTCTGGGAGCACTGCCCTATGAAACCAGACTGTCAACTCTCAACCTTTTTCCCCTTTCCTACAGGCAATTACGTGGTGAGTTTATACTAACATTTCGCGTCATCAACGGCCTCAAATGTTGTTTAGATCCCACTGATTATTTCACTAAGCTAACACGCCCACTTTGCGCAGTCATCCCTTAAAACTACGCGCAGGGAAATCAAGACTCAATGAACGATAGTTCTTTTTCAGCAACAGAGTGGTTGCGGCGGGGAATTACCTGCCTACCGATGTTGTAATCTCTTCCCGTGTGAATTTCTTCAAGTGCAGGCTTGACTCGCACCAAGCATCCCAATTACCATCCTCACATCCACTAACATAACCTGGCACAACTTGTGCGTGCTTAAACTACTTGTAATTAGTAAGTAACCGTTAATGATCACTCATTTTTCGACTAGCTGTCAGCTGTCCGCGAGTATGTAAAGAATCCGTTTTTCACCTCCCTACAGTAGTCACACCTGAGGTAAACTAGCCCTAGCCGCCTGCAATACGCGACCGGTGGTAATAGGGCTTTTTACAGTTGGGGCGGGGGACGCACAGGCAACGATGTCAGTCAGTCGCGAACGGCAACTTTGACCGTGTTCCCCAAATGACGCAGTTAGTTTTTGAATTAGCAGGCCTGCGCGACAGATAGGGTACTCTTACCCCCCTTACCCACCTTGTACGGTCGCGGTCATGGTGGCCGGAAAGGCTGGACAACCGGTCTGCGCGTGCCACAAACAGTCCCGCTCCCACACCATGCGCCAGTTGGTCGTAAGGGCTGTTGGGATCTCGAGTGACTGGGACCACGACAAGAGGTCACGTAGGGATGGAAGCCTTGAGTCTGAAGCCCAGTTGTTGCGAATACTGAATCATTCCGTCATTAAGCAACCTTTCAAACGGACTCCTGTTTAGGTCCAGCACTTCTCTGCTGTAGCCTATTTTGTAACCCTAATAGTTTGCTAGTAAATGAGGGTAACAATCTAACTTATGAGAATTTTTTTTAAAGGAAGTCTTTCATCAGTGTAACCTACATGAATCTGACAACTGTTGAAATAGCGCAAATAACCCAACATGCACGTAGCGGTTTTCTGAGCTGGTAGGAAGCATTTCAGGTTGTCTACCGGACACCAAAATGCTTTTCTAAAGGCCTACGCCCACAGATACTAGCAACGGCGGAGGCAGTAACTATACGGTTAGCGAATCCGGTGTTATGCTGTCAGAAAACCCTGACACAAACGCTCTCTCTGCCGTGGCCAACGCCAACCCCAAGGGATGAAGCCATGCCGCCTCAAATCCCTAATTACGGTGATGGGTACTCCGTGTACTCAATCCAAGAACATCACTCAAAGACCCTCTTACCCCCACCCCTAGTTCTGAGGACCAACAGCCACCGACCTTGTCATGCGGGCGGCGTGGGGATGATGAGTGTTAATGACTTAATATTCCTCGCGACATCTATAAACACTGTTGATTTTGGTATATTTCCACACCTTCATGTAATTGTATTAGCCTGACGAAGAATTACCAAAAATGCGTTTGCAACTTGATTATTTGAAAATGTATCTAAGCCACCACATGAAGGCAGAGCATCAGAAGTACGTGAAGTTGTTTAAAAAACTCATGTACTTCTGAATCCAACACTTGGACAAAGTTCATCTATAAGAAACACGGGACGACAGGTTCATTAAGGAAGGCTTGCAGTGCAAGGCCTTCGATGATGGATATAGCTGACTGTCTCCATGCTGCTCTCATTTGTGGAGCTGACAAACTGCTCTGCGTGGCGTCAGTCAGGTTTTTGAATGCAATCCTCGTCGAACGCAGTGTTCCGTGAGATTTTTCGGCGGCTTAAGCGAAATGGATTTCATTTGCTGCATCGACATTAAGCAAATATACATGACTGGAGTCCGTGAGCTGATACATATCGTCATACATATCGAAATATTCTGATCCTACCTGCACTATCGTGTGCACATACTCAACCGCTGGGATAAGACCAAGAAGGCAAGGATAGACTGCCTTTTCAGACATTTTCAATGTGCGCAAGTACACCGACATCCCCACTCCATATTCCGTGCTGAGGCATAGGCTGGCCAAGGTAATTGACCACTCGGGGAGCGCGCAAGCCGGTGAGCCAGATGGCCGAGCAATCATCACGCCAGCATCCAACACGAGTGATGAGATTTCAGCAATTAACAACTTGCATGCCGGGCATCTAGCAATTAGCGCACAAGCGGGCAACAATCCTTGACGAAGGGGAGCGCGGTTAATTACTATAGGTATGCGGTAGCATAGCGACTGCATCCTATAAATACTGCAACTTCCTGTGCACGAGTCAACCCTTTCTGCCACTGTCTCTGGTGATGGGTCCAAGTGAGTATCCGAAATGTCAGGCGGACTAAGTCCTTGTTCCAACGATCGCTTCTTCTTCTGTTCTACTATTTTCTGGAACTCGCGTCTTCGCTTGTATTGACACTTGATATTTCGTCAGTCGCGAACGGCAACTTTGAGCGTGTTGCACAACTGACGCAGAAGTGCGCGTCAGTTAGTTTTGAATTAACAGGCCTGCGGGACAGATGGGGTACTCTAACCCCCCTTACCCACCTTGACGGATGACAGATCTGGTCGCGGCCACGGTGGCTGGAAAGGCTGGACAACCCGTCTGCGCGTGCCACATGCAGTCTCGCCCCCACACCATGTGCCAGTTGTTCGTAAGGGCTGTTGGGATCTCGAGTGACTGTGAATACGACAAGAGGTCACATAAGGATGGAAGCCTTGAGTGTGACGCCCAGTTTTTGCAAATACTGAATCATCCCGTCATTAAGCAACCTTTCAAACTGACTCCTACTTAGGTCCAGCACTTCCCTGCTGTGGCTTTTTTTGCGACCCTAATAGTTTGTTAGTAAATGAGTTAAACAATCCAACTTTAGAGAACTTTATTTAAAGGAAGTCTTTTATCAGTGCAATCTACATGGCTCTGACAACTGCTAAAATTCATATTTGCCCAACTGTGAAAAACTCGGCGCCTCTGTGGGATTCGAACGCACTCAGTAAGGGGAAGGCTTTAGTACAGCCAATGCTCTAACCACTTGAGCTGCGAGTCCCCGCCGGACGACGCGAGTTTAATCACATTTGGGTCAACTTACCCGCCCAACCTACTGCAACGTCTGGAATCCACCAAATCTGATACAGTAAGTTGACTGCCCAAGCAGGATTTCCTAAGTAATTCACCTAGAATCCAACAGATGACTACCAGGCTCACGTAATTCATAGGTATTTTGGCAGATTTTGAAAATTCAAAAATTCAAAATCAAATTCAAAATCTGCCAAAATACCAATAAACTGCTGAAATAGCGCAAATAACCCAACATGCACATAGAGGTGGTCTGAGCTGGTAGTTTATCTTTGCCCTCTCCGTAAAGGATTGGACTAGTACACGGGCGTCGGCTGCTGGAAATATCAGTGATACAGCTTGAGTTAGACGTCTTCTTAAAAGTTCACCTGGCACGTCCGCTTGAAATGGGACACTGATGAAGAGCATACAATTGCCTTCCCCGAACCCACCTTCTCCTTGGCGCTGACTGGAAGTGTGGCGTTTCACTCTCCCCCTCTTCTCCCCTCCACAAACCCGAACTACAGCATAATTATCGACTTGCCCGTACATTCTAACTTACTAATTCAATAGCAACATAAATGTGCAGGCCTGAAGAGAACTTATTGAAAGCAGACGCATGCTCTCCAAATCGCCTTTTAAATTTTTCAACAGGATAGACTACCTTTTGAGACCTCGTTACTGTTCGCGTACGCCTTTACTTGCGCTTGTGGGGCAGGTTATACTGGTAAAACCACTGGACACCAATCCCAGCGGATGCGAATGCACCAACCAGCCTGGGTAGATCAAAATGTGAAAAGGTCTATCTCTAGCTAAAAATGTGGTTCACCTGTTTGAGAGCGGCCATCAGGCAGATGTCCAACAGCATTCCGGGTCATCTATAAAATGCCGGTGAGGCACTCCGTGTTCCCGCGTCAGCGGATGTTTGCGACGACAGAGGCAGTGACCGTACGGTTAGTCAACCCAATCCCCTGCTCGCATCAAACGTTTGTACAAGCGCTAAGGCTTCCCTGGCCAAAGACAAACCCGGCAGTGTGATCACACCTCCTGTCTGGTTGTGTTACAAAAATAAAGCAGGAGCAGTTACTTGTCAGACATCTTGCCCCTTTCCCTTTCTATGCCCATGAAAAAATTAAAATGGCACACCTGACCTCTAATCTCCCATCAGTCCTATCCACAAAACTTAATTTTATGAGCTGTTTAACCTTGGCCAGTTTACATTCCTTTATAATACTCTAAAGGCCTGTTGATTAGAAATCGAAAGCGTAAGTTTGTCGGACTGGACTACTTAAAAAATGCCTTGATCGAAATGCCGTATAAGTCGATAACGCATCTGGAAAAGGCGGGTTAATCAGCAAGGCGGAACCCCTTTTTTCAACATTAATTCGAATCTCACAACGGACTCCCTGTGCATGTTTGTTGGCAATTACATCCTTAGACATGTTTTTGATCCTCTATCGATGATATTCAAGGCAAAAGTACTCCCTCTCTTTCCATGAAAGTGAGTTAGACTAAGTAGGTTCATCATTTTCCTAATACAGGCAATGGGCTCAAGCCTGCCTCTGTCTCGATCACCAATTTCCACGGTCTGTTCCAAGGCTCGTGGACAGCCAATTGCGCTTGGACTAGGTTTTAGTGATAATAGACTTACACACTCTCTTTCTTTCCCACCCGGTTCTGATGTGGAGATCGATTTAGGAGGACTGGAGTCGGAATCTGGTGCAGTTGCTGACTCAGCTAAATGGTCACTTTTCGTGGACGTACGTCTCCCCAACTTTTAGGCCCTGATGATCTTGCCTCCTTCAGTAATCGCGCTGACGCCCCCCCCCCTACGATCACGTTTTGGCCATTTTCTCCAAACATTTCGCTGAATACTTTTAAATGCATTGTATTTGTCAGTACTTGCACTCCTCCCTCTATCTGTGAAGCCTGCTAACCAGCATTCGTTCATTTATGACATTTGTTAATATCGCGCAGCCCAAATAACGGGGCCCGCGTATTGGTGCAACGTCAGTGGTTGTGTTAACCTAACTGAAGTAACGTTCTTCGAAATGAGAAATATATCTTAGATGTGCGTTCTACAACTGTTCTCCCTTTGAAGCTACTGATTTGGATGGTTCAGGCACATTTGTGTTAAAAATCAATGGAAGAATAAAGTAAGATTCCAGCTGAATCATTCCCAAGCGATCGCACTTTTCGCATCCTAGTGCCAACACATTTAAAATGTCCTTCTTACGAATAGTAATCTACTTTCATATGTGATGATTACGAGACTGCGAATCACGGGATGAAACATGTCCGTTGGTTGTTCTCTGAGAATCCAAAGGTAACTTTTCCGAGTTCGCACCCACGTGACAATTGGAGTGAATGAACCCATGCTGGAAGTTATTAAACTCCATCAAACAAATTTTCATACGCACGAGACTGTCTTTTGCCTCTGTTTCATGCGGTTACTGACTGAACGACAGGACGCCTATGCGATTCCCACTAACATACAACGAAATACGTTCGATCATTACCCTAAGAGACGTAAGTTCAACACACTCAAATTTAGTCCTAGGCCGTCACCCTGTAGTCACTCACAACCTCGCATAACAGACTGCATCCGGTCAGTTGACTTGTTGGGTCCTTAAACACATATATGAATAATTGGCCATAAGGACCCGCTTGAAAATGTCGCCTACCCTCCTCTATGCAGTGTGTTCGTACGCATTCCTGGAATTCGGTTGCATTATATATAAAAGTAAATTCCGGAGTAATTAAAAACCCCAGATTTCATTGGCACATTGCGTACGCTAGGTGATATTTTTCGTCCCCCAATTAGCAGGTACACGAATAAACCATGTAACCTGGCTCATGACTGCTAGCCGCCGACCGGACCATCGGATCAACCAATTAAACCGTCAGTTCGCAGTGTCAGGCTTGTCTGCTTTATGAACATCCATGAGAATGGCAGACTGACAACTGATGCTGTTCGCCAATGGAAAATTACTCAAAACCCCATGTTCAGTTACTATCATGCTTTATCAACTATGCCATATATATCATTATGCCATTACCACCTGGTCGACTAGACCATGTAAACTGACTTGTGCTTGCTAGCCACCCACTAAACCACTCGTAGTTTGCTCTCAGAGTTGGGATCATCTACTTACTCATTTCGATGAGGATGAAAATAGACAATTGAACCTGTTCACCAATGGAAATACTTTCCAAAACGAGAGGTTCCGCTAGCTAGCTAGCTCAATTGCAGTAAATGTTTTCCGGGCGTTGGATGGATTAGGCTGGAAACTGACCTAACAGGAGTCCACGCATGGTTTGCTGGTCTAATTGTGTGTCACCTCTAAACTGGCAGATAAGTGCACCTTCCAAGAGACAGACGGACTAACAACGATCGTGCAACCACACATGTATTCCACTTTAACAAGAAACGTCAGGATTGAAACGGAGGATGCAACTCGTTGCCAAAGCCGCATTTAAGGCCTTCAGTTTGGCGACGGAAGCAGCTGCAACCCGGTTAGAACAGAAGTGTGAAAGTCCTCTCTACCAACACCTCTGTCAAATTCATATTAACTTCGCGAACGCAAGTATCATCTGCCAGATGCGTGTATCCGTTTCTTCAATTCAATGAGCTCTTCTTCGGATTGAAAGATTCAGTGAAGTAAGCAGGCACACTATTATCTACAATGACATCCCAGTGCAAATCACCGTACTCATTCGTCGTTTCCAGCGCAGGTCCTATCTGTCAGTTTACTCCGTACATGCGTTTCCTCAGCACACGATGTACTACGATGAACTCATCTAAAGTGTTTGCTTGCCAGAGAAGGTGCAAATAAATTTGCTGTCCGTTTTGAGATGTGCGCTTATGTCTGGTTTTCCTGTCCAGTGTGCCTCTACGCGGAATGGTCCAGCAACTGCGCATGCAAGAGAAAGCAACCCGTGGCGCGACTGTTACAAGGAATAAGTGCTTACCCCTGCAGATACTTGTTAGCGGCTCTGAATACGACAGATTCATGAGTAATCGAACAGGGCTATGGCCTGTGCGAAATGACAGACGTTATGAGAAGGGTTTGGAATTGATTACACAGCGGTGGTGCTGTTGGTGGTGGTGGTGGTGGTGGTGGTGGTGGTGGTGGTGGTGGTGGTGGTGGTGGTGGTGGTGGTGGTGGTGGTGGTGGTGGTGGTGGTGGTGGTGGTGGTTATTAGTAGTAGTAGTAGTAGTAGTAGTAGTAGTAGTAGTTTTAGTAGTTGTAGTATAAGTCGTAATACTAGTAGAAGCAACCGTGTGTAAGTAACCGGCGGACTGGCTGTTACAAGGAAGAAGTGTTTACCTCTGTAGAGATTGTATTTAAACTTCAGATCGTGGAGCAACGAAATTAAATACAGTCCGTTTGAAGCACGCCTGTGCTTCTGGGTCCACTGTCCGGACAAAGTGCATCTATAAGACACACGAGACGACGGGTTTATTTGAAAGTGCCTGCAGTGCAAGCCTTTCAATGTTGGCTATAGCTGATTTTCTCCATAAAGTTGACATTTTTGGAGTTGACCAGGTGCGTCGCATGGCGTCAGTCAAGTTTGTGAATGTAATGCCTGTCGAACGTAGTCTTCCTTGAGTTTTCACGGCGCCGAACGCAAAATGAATTTCATTTACTGCGCCGACATTGTGCATATGCACATTGATGGAGTCTGAGGGTAGGTATAAATCAACATATCCCGAGTCCATCTGCAATAGAGGGAGAAAAGAGACTCCGGCTTTTGCCCTTGTATTTCCCAACGCACTGATTCGGATAATACACTAATGCAAACCATTTCATCTACGTCGTCTGGCATAGCTTCATTCGTGTGTGTATTTTCTTGTATGGCATTAAAGTCTTGTTTTATTACAATGGGGTCTGTGCATAAATTGTCATATTTCGTGGTCTCTGTACATGTCGACGGTTATACCGGCACGTAGTTGATGGTGAGTCAGCATAACATGTCAGAGTTTTCCCTGAACTTTAGGACAGCATCCACTTCCACAGACGTTGCATTTAATTCCCTCGTCTTTTTTGCTCTGCTCTATGATGCTAAATTTGAAACCGATTCAAAGAGTACTTACAACAATCAGAACCACGAATTGAATACACTGCTGTTTTTGTCGGTGTATGAATGCCAGTGAATAAATCGTCATCATATAAACTGGGCTTAGATTAAGCATGCGTACCATATGCTGGATGCTGATTTTAACACTAGAAAATGTCAAATCGCATGTCGTGATTAGGAAGTTCCCTTCCCGCACATGGCCGACAAACAAACATTGGTGAATCGCTGGATTGGCTGCCGTTTGCATCACCAGACGAGTTGTGACTTTTTCACCATATCGCATGTAAGCGTGGAAGAAACGGGCCGCGGCAAATTGCTCCCGGACGAATTCGTGCAGAAGAACTCCATTTTCGGAAGTCGGACAGGACGGACTAACTAAAAAGTTCGAATGAAATGAACAGTATTCAATGATTCTGCGTATTTCGTTGAGTTTTTTGCTACTTATTATGGTAAGGGTTTGTAAGTTTGTCGAAAAGTTCTTAAAAAACCACCGCATATCATCTGCATCCTCTAAATAAGTCTGCGCATCTGTAATGAAGGAGGCAAAATAACATACAATCCGACATGCAACATATGCGGCAGGGTATTAGGATGATGCGTGTGATATTTGGTTGCAAAATTCACAAAAATGTTGGTGTTTGATGATAGTTGATCGATAACGTACGAACTGCCAGGATTTATGTTAAACAATTAAGGGCAAACAATTGAATCAACGGCATACCAGGACAGCCTACAGGGACTTACAGGGATTGTATGTGCAGGCAATGCTTGAATGCAGCAGGCGTAGTATCGCAAGTTGTATAAATATATCATGAGTAGGCATGTCTTGCCGGAGACAAGGGCGAGGTGCGTGCTGCTTAATATGCTATGCCTCTAGCAGTAAGGCTAACTCTGTGGTATTTAAGCGTCTGGATGCTGCAGTATAGTGAATTCTAGGTTAAAGTCATTTGAGTGGCAGTTGCGGTGGGATTTGCAGAGGGTGGCCTCATGACTTTGAAACACACAAATTGGTGTCTCTCTTTCAAACAGAAGATAAAAAAACCCCGTTATCGCGTGCGCATATACAACCGCTAGCATAAGACCATAAAGGTGAGGATAGACTGCCTTTTGAGACCTCTTTAATGTGCTGTACGCCTTCGCTTGCGTTTTGGGGGCAGGTTATATTGGTAAAACAACTTGACACCAATCCAAACGGATACGAGAGCACCGTACTGCCTGGCTAAAACAAAGCGTGAAAAGGTCTACCGTAGGCGCAAATGTGGGTCGCTTGGTTTAGAGCGGCCACTGGGCTGATGTCAACCAAGCATTCCGAGTCATCTATAAAATGCCGGTCAGGCACTCTACGTTCCTGTATCAGCGGATGTGTGCGAAGGCAGAGGCAGTGGCCGTACGGTTAGTCAACCCAATCCCGTGCTCGCATCAGGCGCTTGTACAGGTGCTAAGGCTTCCCTGGCCAAAGGCAAACCCGGCAGTGTGATCACACCTTCTGCCACGTTGTGTTACAGCGAGGAAGCAGGAACAGTTACTTGCCAGACAACTTACCTCTTCCCCTCCCTCTGCCCATTGCAAAACTAAAATGGCACATCTGACCTCTAAGATCCCATCAACCATCTCCCCCCAAACTTAATTTTATGGGTTGTTTAACCTTGGCCACTCTACATTCCATTATAATAATCCAAAGCCCTACTGATTAGAACGCGTAAGTTTGTCGACTTGTCTGTTTAAATAATGATTTGATCGAAATGCCGTGTAAGTCGATAAGGCATCTGGAAAAGATGGGTTAAGCAGCAAGGCGGAACCCTTATTTTCAACATTAATTCTAATCTCACAACGGACTTTCTGTGTATGTTTGTTTATAATCACATCCTCAGACATGACTTGATGCACTATAATGATATTAAAAGCAGACCTACTCGCTCTCTTTCCATGAAAGTGAGTGAGTCTAAGGGCGTTCATCATTTTCCTAACACAGACAATGCGCTCAAGCCTGCCACAGTCTCGATCACCAATTTCCACGGTCTGTTCCAAGGCTCATGGACAGTGAATTGCGCTTGAGCTAGGTTTTAGTGATAGTAGACGGCGATCGTGTCTATCTCTTCTTCAAGACTGCTTCCTGGTACTCGTCTCTTCGCTTCTTTTGGCAATGCATTTGGGCGCGATGCTCTCCGATCGACCCGTCCATGGGAAACCTTCGCCCTTCGGGAGGCTTCCACTTATTCGCAGATCCGGTTTCTGCGCAGGTGTCTCGACAATAATGTGTTACCGAAATGTGTTTAATACTAGCACCCGGTTAACACGGAGTTGGCAAGACAAGCAGTATTTCAACATAACAGAAGGATGATCCGAGTGCTCCTCCAAGATTGCCACACGAGATATCGCAAGTACCATCAAAGGATTGACAAAGAAAAGACCGGCTAATGTGAGTTCATGGGCGAGATCGTAGAAATCTGCTACTGCAGAGGATAACCGAACAAACCCGCGAACAGATCATGATACGCGACGCAGCACTGGCAAACAAATTCCAAAAGCTGCCCAGAAACGACAAACTGGTGCACAACCTGTCGTCAAAGGAGCTGATGAAGGATCAGATGCAGGTTTTTTGGCACGAAGCTTCATTTAACACGGCTGACGCCAAACCTGTTAACATGATTGCAGCAGTGGAATCAATCCTTAGTCAGACTGAGGCAACTGAGGAGACTAAGAGCCTCATCCGACACCAGGTGTCGTCTCTCCTAATGGCCCACAGGCCGCGGGAAGTGCTTTCCAAGGTCGAACGTGATGCGCTTAGAGGACTCAAGGCCGACGAAGACTTGGTCATCGTGCAGCGGATAAGCGGCGCTCCACCGCTGTGCTGGACAGGAAAGACTACATTCAAAATGCCAGAGGTTTACTGGAAGACCGACAGTTCTATGTCCCATGTGCAACGAACCCTGTAAAAAGCGCTGACACGCGAAATCAATGCTACCTTGTTGGCCTTGGAGAACTCAGGCGCAATAACACCGACCGACAGACGCATGGCGAGACCCTAAGATACGGATTTGGCCAGATTCTATGGCCTCACTAAGGTGCGCAAAGACGGCACTCCTCTCCGACCCATCGTGTCGCTCAAAGGGACTCCAACGTACGGACTGGCTAAGTGGCTGTTCCGGAGTCTTAAGTTCCTGACTGCTGAGTCAGACACTACGGTATCTTCGTCAGCGCTATTCCTGGAGAAACTCAAAGGGGTAAGCATCCATCCAAATGAGGTCATGGTATCTTTTGATGTTACATCCGTTTTTGCTTCTATTCCCCAGGACCTGGCGATCGAGATAATTGAGCAGCTACTACAAAGCAAATACAATGAAACGGAGAACCGTCTTGGACACGCCCAAGTCCTTCATCTCCTGAAGCTCTGTCTCCAAAAGTACTTCACGTTCAACGGGACAATCTACGAACAGGTGAAGGTCACACCACTGGGTTCGCCGATTTCGGGATTCATCGCCGAGGCGGTCCTGCAACGGTTAGAGTCGCTTGTCCTTCAACACCACAGACCGAAATTCTGGGCCCGGTATGTGGATGATACCTTCGTCGTCATCGAACTGGATCAGATGTTGACATTCCAGGAACATCTCAACGCCGTCTTCCCGGACATTCAATTTACGATGGAGGAGGAAGAGAAAAACCAGCTGGCCTTCCTGGATGTCCTCGTATGCCGCAAGGATTGTGGTGGACTAAAGACCAAAGTGTTCAGGAAAGCGACAAATACGATGCAAGTACTGAACTTCAACAGTAACCACCCAATCAGCCACAAACGCAGTTGTGTAAGGACGCTCTATCGGCGTGTCGAAACGCACTGCAATGAGCCGGAAGACAAAATTGCCGAACTACAATACCTCCGACGGGTCTTCAAAGCCAACGGCTACTCGCGCAACTTCGTCGACCGGTGCATACGCAAAGGGTACGAAAGGCCGTACCGCACGTCGCCAAATCTTGGCGGGCACTTCCCTATGTCAAGAACGTTTCGGAAGATGTCGGTCGCCTTCTCGCACCACTTGGGGTTGGAGTAGCACACAGGCCGGAGGCAACCATCAGGCGTCTAGTCATGAAACCGAAAGACCCACTACCGCTGCTAGAAACGTCTGGAGTCCTTTATCGGATCTGGTGCAGTTGCGGACAAAGCAACTACGTCGGAGGAACCGGAATACAGTTCCGAACGAGAATGGCCGAACACGCGGCAGCGGTGCACAGAAATGACGCCAGCTCTCAAGTTGCGGATCATTCGACGAGATCCGGCTACACATTCAAATTCGATGAGGCCGAAATTCTCGCAAGAGGTGACAACCGCGTGAGCCGGGAGATACTGGAATCACGGTTTACTGGCCCCCAGTCCATCAACAAGCGCAACGATCTTCCCACTCCATACTCCGTGCTGAAACTTCGCCTAGGTGGAGTAACAAGCCATGTGGGGAGCGCAGAGGTGAGCACTTTTCCCGTCACCGTGGTCGGTGCGTCAGATGGTCGAGTAATAATCACGCCGACATCCGACGCAAGTGATGAAATTGCAGCAATTATCGACTCGAATGTCGGCCATCAAGAAATGATCACCCCAAGTGTGACGATCCCGGATGAAGGGAGGAGCCGTGAATGTTCATAGGTGTGCGGTAGCATGGCTACTGCATCCTATAAATATCGCAGCCCCTTGTGCAACAACCACCCGTTTCTGCTTTTTTGTCTCTGATGAGGGATTCGAGTAGATATCCGAAACGTCAGGCTAATAAAGCTCTTGTCCCGGCGATCGTGTCTCCTTCTTCAAGACTACTTCCTGAGACTCGTCTCTTCGCTTCCAGTGGTCGTGTGTGTTGTACGTATTGGCAGGAAGCAGTACAGAAGAAAAAGAAGAAGCTATCGGAGAAACAAGTTCTTTATTTTCCCGACGTTTCGGATTCTCATTTCAAACCTACCACAGAGATATTGACTGGAGGGTGTGGCTCGTACACAGGGAGTTGCAGTATTTATACTATGCACTCGCTATGCTACCGCATATATATATCAATTAACTGCGCTTCCCTTCATCAATGATTTTTACCCGCTGGTTCGCTAAATGCTTGATGGTCGGCATGCTGAAATCTCATCAACCATGTCGGATTGTGGCGTGATGATTGTCCAGCCATCTTGCTCACGTGCTTGCCCGCTCCACGAATGGTCAATTACTGTGACCAGCCTATGCCGCACCACGGAATATGGAGTGGGGATTTCATTGCGCTTGTTGATAGACTGAGGTCCCGTGAACCATGACTCAAGCAACTCGCGGCTCACGCGAGTATCCCCTCTCACAGTAATTTCGGCCTCATGGAGCCTGAATGTGTGGCCGGGTCTCGTCGAATGGGCCGCAAACTGAGAGTTGGCGTCATTTCTCCCTACAGCTGTCACGTGATCGGCGATTCGTGGCAGCAGTACGGAGAAATGACGCCAACTCTCAGTTCGCGGCCCATTCGACGAGACCCGGCCACACATTCAAGTTCTATGAGGCCGAAATTATCGCGAGAGGTGATAATCGCGTGAGCCGCGAGTTGCTTGAGTCTTGTTCACGGGACCTCAGTCTATCAACACGTGCAGCGACATCCCCACTCCATATTCTGTCCTGAGGCATAGATTGGCCAAAGCAATTGACCACTCGAGGAGCGCGCAAGCACGTGAGCCAGATGGCCGAGCAATCATCACGCCAGCATCCAACACGGGTGATGAGATGTCAGCAATTTACAACTTGCATGCCGGCCATCAAGTAATTAGCGCACCAGCGGGCAACAATCCTTGATGAAGGGAGCACGGTTAATTGCTGTAGGTATGCGGTAGCATGGCGACCGCATCCTAGAAATACTACGACTTCCTGTACACGAGCCACCCTTTTCTGCAACTGTCTCTGATGATGGATTTCGATGAGAATCCGAAACGTCAGGCGAATAAAGCCATTGTTCCAGCGATCGCTCTTCTATGTCATTGTTTTCATCACGCAATTGGCAGATACAAGAATTAACTATGTAAATCCACTTATGCTCGCCAGTCATCCACCGGACAATCAAATCAACCTAATAAACTATTTATTCGCAGATTTATATTTATCTTTTTGTTCGTTTCCAAGGGAATTCAAATAGTCAAATAATGCCGCTCGATAATGGACATAATTTGCAAAACAGGAGGTTCGGATAGTTTGTCTTACTGCTTCGAAGGGGCATCTAACGCCTCATGGGAGTTCTCTCATCACTGAGTAGTCTAATTATGTGTCCAATTCACCTCCACAGATTCGTGCCCCTTACAAGAGACAGACGATCTAGCAACGGTTGTGCAATCATACATGTTTCACTCCTCAACAAAAAAACATCAAGATTAAAGTAGCGGATGGACTCGGTTGCCAAATTCGTCTTGAAGGCCTTAAGTCCAGCATCAGTAGTAGCTGCATTGTGCTTATAATAGAACAGTAAGATTCGAATTCCCTACACCTTTGTCAAATGCATATTGACTGACAAAATGGATGTTTCGGCGCCTTAAATTTCTGACAGCTGATACGGACACCACTGTCATTTCGTCAAAACAATTTCTGGAGAAGCATAAAGGAGTAAGTCTCTAACCAAATGAGGTCATGGTATATTTTGATGTCACGGCCCTCTTTATTGCTATCCCCTTAGATCTAGCAATTGAGACGCTCGAGCTATTCCCACGAAGCGCTGTTTATTAATATAGGTATGCGGTAGCATGGCGACCGCATCCATAAATACTGCGACTTCCTCTACACTAGCCACCCTTTTCTGCAACTGTCTCTGATGATGGATTCAAGAGAGAATCCGAAACGTCAGGCGAATAAAGCCATTGTTCCAGCGATCCCTTCTTCTTCTGATCAACTAGTTCCTGGAACTCGCATCTTCGCTTGTATCGACTATCACATAGTTGAGAGGAAATGACAGTGAAATCTGAGGTTTTAAATTACCCCAAAACTTACCTTTGTAGTTAAAGCAACCCAATGCCAGGGATGCGCACAAACATACTGCGGTGAGGAAGGCAGGCAACATTTTCAAATGGGTTTCTGAGGTCGGCTATTCAGATGTATATACAAAGATTCAAGATTCCGACTGATTTCACTGGTGCAATTATGTTGGTCAGGTTTGGCTTCGGCAGTGTTGAATGAGGCTTCATGCCGTTCAACGTCCACTTGCTCGTTCGTCAGTTCCTTCGACTACAGATTGCGTACCAGTGTGCAGTCTGTGGATGAGGTTGGATCAGGAAGTTTGTAGAATTTGTTTCCTAGTGCTGCGTTATGTGTCACTTTCTGTTTGCGGGTTTGTTCAGTCACCTTCTGCTGAAGCAGATTTGTGCCGTTCTCGTCCATGAACTCGCAGCGTCTGGCCTTTTCTTGGTCAATTCTCTGACGGTATTTGCAAAGCCTCGCATGGCAATCTTGAAAGACCACGCGAAACATACGTCCTCCGTAGTGAAATACTGAGCATCTCGCCAGCTCCGTGTTTACCGGGGGGGGGTGGTTTCTAAGAATCACGCTTTGGCAACACGTTGTTATCGAGACACCTGTGCAGAAGCCGGATCTGCGCATAAGTAGAGGCCTCTTGAAGGACAAACGTTTCCGATCGCCGGGTCGATCAGAGCGCATCGCGCCCAAACATGTTGACGATACAAGCGAAGATGTGGGTTCCAGGAACTGGTTGATAAGAAGAAGAAGAAGAAGAGGAAGAAGCAATCACTGGAACAAGGGTGTTATTGGCCTGAAGTTACGGATTCTTACTTGAACCCTTTAGAGACAGTAGCAGAAAAGGGTGACTCGAACAGAGAAAGGGGAACGCGGTAAATTAATATAGGTATTCCTAACATTGCTACCGCATCCTATAAATACTGCGACTTACTGTGCACGCGTCATCCGTTTCTACCACTGTCTCCGATGCCGGGTTCAATTGCGAACCCGCAACGTCTGGGAAGAGTATTGCCTGCTGATTTTGCCCATGTATTTCATAATGTACTGAATATGAATTACATCAATACAATTCACTTCATCCAGTTCTTTTGGCATGGATTCATTTGTCTGTTCAATCACCCGACTATGATTGGCGTTTGATCCCAGTTTAACGAAAAATGTGTCATAAAAGACCATTAGCCGAATGATAAATGTACAAAGGTACCGCAGAGCCAGTGGATGTCGTCGGTCATTCCGGATTTCATTTTGAAAAATCTCAACATCACATGTCCTCGTTGTGTGACGAGGTTCCCTTCAAATTGGGAACAGCATTCATCTGCTCTATCTTTGGACTTACTTCTCTCGTCTTTCTACCTGTGCTATATGTTGCTTAGATCAAAACCAACCGACAGAGCGCCCATAGCATTCCACATCACGAATTTCATACATTGTTGTTTCAGCCGGGGGATGAATAGTCATCATATGTAGTGCATACCATATACTGGGTACTAATTTAAACACCAGAAAGAGTCAGATCGCATGTCATGATCAGGTAGATTCCCTCCCGCACATGGCCGGCCAAGAAACATTTGTGGATCATTGGGTTGGCTGCTGTCTGCATGACCAGACGGGTTGTGGTCTTTAGGTCTCATCGTAAGCCAGCGTGGAAGGAACGGGTTCCGTGAAATTGCTCCGTAACGAATTCGTACAGAGGAACTTCTTCTCCCGAAGTTTGACAGGACGAACCAAATAAAAAGCCTCAAATGACATTGACAGCGTTCAATAGTTTTGCGTTTTTCGTCCAGCTGTTTATACCAGACGTGGTGAGAATTTGTATGTCTTCCGAAAGGTTCTTTAAAGGTCACGATATGTAACTTACAAACTCAAATAAAGCGTGATGTTTAAAATGGATTGGGCATGATCGTTAATTTGAAATCTTCCTTTAATGACCAGTGAATACTCATCACTGCCGACATGCAGCATATGTGGCAAGCTATTGCGCTGATAATGAACCAAGGAGTAGGGCCAGTTGTCAATTCCTCAAGTCAAATCTTGTCCATACGCATGGGGAATCGTGAAGGAGTGTGGAAGATCATGCAAAAATTCGCCTGTCCAGAGCGATTCATTCAGATGGTGCGTCAGCTCAACGATTAAATTATTGCGCTAGTCACAGACAATGGAGCTGTATCATAAGCGTTCGCAGCGACCAACGGAGTGAAGCAGAGATGCGTCCTGGCGCCTACTCTCTTCAGTCTTATGTTCTCCGCCGTGCTGATGGACGCCTACGACGACGAACTTCCCGGGATCCGCATCGCCTACAGGACGGACGGCTACCTCCTTAATCAACGTTGAATGCACTTCCATTTGCGCATTTCCACAACCACTGTTCACGAACTTTTCTTCACCGACGACTGGGCCTTAACACCTCAGAAGAGGACATACAACGAAGCATGGATTACTCTCCGTCGCCTGCAAAAATTAATAGCCCGGTTAGTAACACGAAGAAGACGGTGGTCATGCACCAGCCGCCACCCAACATGAAATAGTGCCGGTTTGCGAGTGATAGGCAATCATTCGCAAATTTTGACACATTTAATGAGTTAGGTCACTAATTGCAATTAAAAACCCAAAGTTTGCCCTGATTAAGATGCAGGTTAAAATTAGATGGGCACCCTGCTTCGCACAAGAATGAGCGAAGCCCTGTCAAACAATCATTCGTTAGATATGACATGCGTCTTACTGTGCTTCGAAATGTCTTGACGGCCCCTTTTCGAGACAAGAGTCTTCCGAGTTTCTGGCCCAGGAAGACGCATTTGCCAGCCGATCTTGGGCGGATGATAGAACGCTGAAGAGGATACCAATAGACGGACTGACTGGAGTTCATTACGTGTCTAACCGCATCTTCCGAAAGATTCTGCCATTGCATTCATTGACTTCGTTTTACCGCCCACTGCAGATCTTAATTCGCTTTTGAGAATTCTGCTCTTGGCATCTAAATCAATATTCCTCTCGGTGTATATAAGCCTGAGCGCATTGCTTACAGGAATTCTCAGCACCCTTTTGTTAAGAATAAGATGAGAATGAGGATGATGACGATGATGATGATGATGATGATGATGATGATGATGATGATGATGATGATGATGATGATGATGATGATGATGATGATGATGATGATGATATCACTGGAAAAAGAAGTCTATTGGACAGACTTTACGGATTCACACTCGAACCCATCACGAGAGACGGTTTTTTGGTAAACGTCGATTTTATCTAAGCCAACTATATTCCTTGCTCGAGCTGCCGGAGAAAAGTAGAATGATCTCTTTGCTACTAATTTTTCTAATTGGATGGCTTTAGAGACAGATTTTCCTGTTTGATCACGGTAGACTCTTCAGTCGCATGCGCCTTTATGAGTACCCACATTAAATCCTCATAAACATGACCAAATCAGCACACATTTTCTTCTCGACAAATGCACCGCACATAAACACCTCTAAAATGCCATATCACGGATTACTCTCATTTAAGCGGAGCATCTGGCCAATCATCTCCCAGTCCAACTCAGACGTGCTCTCGCTTAAGGCGTCGTGATGCATACGCAATGCTTCCGGCGCTGGGCATACCCTCGTCCGGCTGTCGACTATCTTCCAGTCCCTCTTTGGCATTCTCCACAGAATGCATTATCTTCGTCTGGTTGAACAGCTCGAACAGAGGCTGATGCGTAAGATAGAGTAGAGCGAAAGGAGTTGGCCATCAGCGCGTAAATACTCACTGTAAACACTCTGGAACAATGGCGACTGTTAGGATGCGGTAAATTCCGTGGCCTTGATGGTTGCCAACTGACGCCTCAACACAGTCCATGCAATTGGTCCAGCTGTGCGTTTGCATACTGAGTAGCCAACTGGTGGACTGAGATTCTTGACTCGGTCATGGAACCGACTTTGTCGGCAACTGGCACGGATCAGACAAATACACGACTCGGTCAATGAACTGGTGCCAGGAAGTGAGAAGGCAGAGGGAGAGTGAGCTTGACTGTCTCAGCGCACTTTCCTCACTATGAACAATTTGATGCGTTTTCATTCATCATGGTGCCCTATAATCCGGCACTTGGATAACACAGACCTCGCAATCAGAACAGGTTGTGTGTAGTGACCGAGTGGAGGACTGAGATTCTTGACTCAGTCATGAGACCGGCTTCTTCCTAATGCAACCTGTCTGGCACCTCTCGCACTCAGTAGAATGTAAGCCGGTGCGATGCATAGTTGCGGGATTTTCCCTGCCAGTCAACTTAGCCCTCCCCAACCTTCGGCCTTCTTGACTCTGTCATGTACATGGGCCCAGAATCATGGGGTGGAGAGGGGAGTACGGTAGATGCTGCACAAATCTACCACCAATATATTTAGATGAGTTCACACACAAATCACCTTCCCTGCCCCGACTCCACAGTGGACATCATCAGGCAAACAGGATCAAACGTAGAGTAGCTGTAGATGTCCTCTTCTTATGAGAGTTTAGGAAAGCTGTGGCCTCCAATTTCAGCAGCACAACCTCCTGTAAATATTTGCTGATACGCAAATCCTACTCGCTCCCCAGGTGCTGAATGGACAGTCAGTAGAATAAGGAGTTTGTGTCCTAAAACTTCACTGCCTTTTCTCCTACCACCACCACCACCACCACCACCACCACCACCACCACCACCACCATCACCACCACCACCACCACCACCAGCATCATCAGTGCACGCGAAATTCGAACCTCTAAAGTGAATCCGTCGCACTCAGACGCGCTAACAAGCGTATGCAGAGGTAAGCACTTATCCTCCGAAAGCAAACTTACGCCCCAAAGCTATTGGGGACAATTCTATTAAACACTAATATAAAATTCGAAGAACGACGATAAGGCTGTAAGCCTTAAAGATCAGACCAGGGCTTTCTTTCTCTATCGTTCAGGTTCAGTCCAGATACCCCATAACCGACAAGTTAATCATAAAGACACAAGTAAAGACAAAGTGCATGTCTACACTTGTTTAAGGGGCAGCACACAGTAAGTAGGTTTTTCCCCTTGGTTCATCTTACATAACACACCGGTTAGGAAAACCGGACATAAGCGCATACCACAAAACGGACAACAGGTTTATTTCGAACTCCTCTGGCAACTGAGGCTGTAGTAGAATTCATTGTTATGGAATGTGTGTTCAGGAAATGCAAGTCCAGTGAAAATATGCAGACAAGGTCTGGGCTGGAAATAGTGTACGAGCACGGTGATTTGCACTGGGATGTTGTGGTAGGTAAAAATGCGCCTGCTAACTTTAAGGAATCCTGCAATCTGAAAAGGAGATCATATATGTAAAGAAACGAATACACGTACCTGGCAGATGAAGCTTACGTTGGTGGAGTCAATAAGAAATTTACAGAGATGTCGAGAATTCCCTTCTTCTGTTCTATCCAGGTTGCAGCCACCGCTCTTGCTGAACTGAAGGCCTTCAATGCGACTTTGGCAGCGAGGTCCATCCGCTGTTTTGATCCTGATGTTGGATGTTGAGTTTGAAGACATGTATGATTGCACAACCGCCGTTAGATTGCCAGTCAGTTGAAAGGGACGTGAACCTGCTACTTTAGAGGTGGAACATATTTAATACATTCCGGGACGAGAGAGCTCGCATAGGGCGAAGTTAGTACACATGTATATGGATCTCAGCCTAATATGTTCTACATTAGTCAAACTTTCGACGTATTTAGAGCAACCAAGCAAATTTCTTGTTTTGGAAGTGATGTCCACTGGCAAACGTCATCATTTGTCCTTTTGCATTATAATGGAAATAAATAAAGAGTTAATTCTAACTCTGCGAACTAATTGACGAATATATTGATTTGGTGGTGCAGAGGATGGTTAATGAGCATAACTTGATTTACAGGGTTCATTCGCGCATCTGCTAAATGCGTAGGTAAATTATCGCACAGATGAAAGAAAATGATAGTAAAATCTGAGGTTTTCATTTATGTACTTCAGGACTTACGTTTATTTCTAGTGCAGCCAAATGCCAAAAGTGCATACAAACATAATGCATAGAACAGGGTAGGCAACATTTTCAAATAGACTGCTGAAGCCGGCTGTTCATATACATATATATGATTTCTGCACCAGCAAGTGTACTGACCTGATGTGGTCAGCTATTGTGAGGCTGTGAGTGGCTACGCAGTGACAGGCGATGCTTAGTTTCAGATGTGATGGTTTACATTAGATAGGGCAAGGATCGGAAGTATATCGCTTAGCGTCGATGTAAATCGCATAGTTGTTGTGCCTATTTCGATCAGCCAGTAACTGCTTGAAGCAGAGTCTACAGACGGTCTAGTGCACATAGAATGTGCCTGATCGAAGTTTCTTAGCCCCCGCTGTTGTAGACATAGTCGGAGTCTGCGATCGAATGGCCATTGTGTTTCAATGGACACTGAGTACGGGCTGAATTTATATCGAATGTAGGATTCAGCTCCATATCTCCAGGAAAGGCAATGCAACGGCAGAAGCCGTGAAGTGGTGGAGAGGTGGGGGGGGGGGCATGTCATCTAAATGTGAACATCAAGGTATTCATTGGGAGGACGATGAAGCATGCTGAATCGGTAGAGTTATCAATGGCTCCCTTGCATTTTTCCCTGTTTTTTTTTACCAAAATCAACAACTTTGGGAATGTTCTGCATTGGCATTGCCGCTACTAGTATGTTAAGATATAAACAAGAAATGTCGCCTGGGATATCAATTTTTCGAAACGTCTGCCCAGACAGAATTATCTGATGCCCAATCCCACCATCGAATGGCTGACTGGCTCGACGATGTGGTGGTGAAAGCGAGAGCGAATGGGGGGGGGAGGGGTGAGGTAGACTCTAGGTACGCCGTTTACACAGCACTTGAGCAGACGCCTCATTACAACATATTTGTCAAGCTTTGGGGCTGCAATAATTCGCTAGAAATCGTGAATGACTTTCGGGATCTCCTTCCAAATGTGGCCTCAATAATGCGAAATCCCGGCAACCCTTACAAAATCCTAGCACATGCTGTGAGGACGGTGCTGCATGTGGCCCGCGCAAAGAGGCCGTTCAACTTTGACGGCCTCTGTGTGATTTTTTGATTATGTTCACTGGAAATTACCGCCAGCATGTTCGATATCCATGTCATTTCGGTCAACTCCGCTGATTAATTGATGCATGGATTTGAACATAAAACAGTCACAAAGCAGGACTTTCAGCGTAATCTGTAGTCAAGTTGTTCAGTAAACCAAAGACAAAACATTTGACGACTCTGGTTCATCTGACAAATCCAGTTTATTTTTCGTCCCACAATGATATACTTAAACTTGGCTCTTAAATATATGTTCCCTTATTTAACTCAAATGAGAATATGAATACTTTTGTAAATGCTCCGGCAAATGTCCAAGTGGAGGAGTTTGAGTTGTCTTAGCTGGAGTGTGAACATTTGCGACTTTTTGGACGCGTTTGGCGGGCTTGCTCATGTCCCATTTCAGGTGACATGCTTCCTCATTTTCCATTCCTTAATGGGTTTGCTGCTGCATACGTTTACTGAAAGTTGCATCTGAACCTCACTTTCGCTTTACATACACTCCGAATTCAGTGGTGGTTGGAACATAGTGACGGTTCGATAGCCGACTACGATTGTATCCACCGTATGCATGGACACAAAGACAGTGACCTGTGTGTACATTAGTTTATAGCAGTAGCAAACGTACCCAGCATCTATTGCACACTTTCCTCTCTCTCTCCCCCCGCCCGGATCCGGTGTAAAAACATAGTCAAGAAGACCGGAGGCGGGATCATGTCCTGTACAGATGAATTAGTATGTATTTCCGAGTCAATGATTGCTGCTCTTCTCCGAAATGAGAAAAACGTCTAAGTGTATGTCTTGCAGCTGTTTTCCCCTTACATATGTCGACTGTGCCAACAATTAACTATGCAACATTCATGTCAGCGCATTTGGAATGTTCTCTTTACAGATAGTAATCTATAGTAGGTAAGCTAACTCACAAACCTTTCGCCGAAATTCTGAAATACGTTTTTGAATCGAAAATATTACTTAAGTAGGGTTGTAATACTAATCACCGTGAAGAATAAACCCGTGATAAATCAGTTACTCCTGGGTGTCGGCTTTTGAACAGACTTTTTTTGGGCGTCCGTAAAAATCTCATTCTGTAAAAGCGACTGCTTATGTACCATTAATTTTTTCATTGATTTGCGGCACCCTTATAAAGTTAAAGATATGTCATGGAAAAATGCAAAAACGTATTCATTCAGTTGCTGATTTAGTACAAACGTGCGTTTTTTGCAAATTTTATAATTGATGAAATGTTAAATTCAAAATTCCCGAATAATTTTTATAATTACCCGCCTCTACACTCGCATCCAGGATTTCCAAACTACAAGTTGCCTATTTTCCGTGTGTGGAAAAACATACATTGCTTTGTGGCATTATGAGAAACCATATGGGGCTTATAGCATTTGGCAGTGAATCCATACTGAAAAATTAACAAGCAACGTCAGAAAATACAGAGAGGCAAAGCTTTATGAACGGACAGTCCCCGATCCTGAAAATTTCATAATGAGAAACTTTTTACAAGCAAATTTTACCATTCCTTCAGGTACAGTGCGTGACCGATCTCATGAAATGTTGGCTGAAATTTTGAAATTCGTTTTCGATTGTGAAGGTTTACTCCGGCGCGGTTGTAATACTAATTATGTTGAAACATAATCCTATAATACGTTGGACTTGGCAGAATGTTAGCTTTTGAATTCATTGCCTTCTAATTTCCTATAGAATCCGGGCTTGGTAAATAATGACCACATATTTAGCATGAATTTTTCCTATTGATTTTCGAAGGTCTTGGAAATTCAAACAAATTTTATAGAAACCACTAATAAAATATGCCTTTTTTAGTCGTTTGATAAATAATCACAACGTCTTTATATTTAATACTCGAAGAAAGATTATACTTAGGTTTTAAAAAAGTTTTGATTATGAGAATATTTAAGACCGTACAATGTCCATTCATTCAGAATCGTACCTGTACGTCTATCACTGCTCCTCATGAAATGTACAACATAAACCGCATTCGTTCTAAAAATTCATGGACTCTCTATAGTATCTACTTAAAGCCATAAGAGAATATGCGATTTTATTTACGGAAAACGCACGCATCTCATAGACTGAAGTCACGAAGCACATATGAAACGACTGATCAGGCTCTGAATTATTCGGGAATAAGAAAACTTTTTTAAACCTAGTTATACTCCTTTTTCGAGTATAAAATATAAAGACGGCGTGATTGTTTATCAAAAGACTGAAAGAAGGCATATTTTATTCGTACTTTCTATAAAATATATTTGAATTTGCAAGACCTTCGAAAATCAGTAGGAAAAATTCATGCTAATTAAGTGGTCATTTTTTACCGAGCCCGGTTTTTACAGGAAATTAAACGTCAATGAATCCTGCCAAGTCTGAAATATAATAGAATTATGTTTCAAGATAATCGATTGCCAATAGAAGCGAAGAGCCGAGTCCCAGGAAGTAGTCTTGAAGAAGGAGACACGATCGCCGGGACAAGAGCTTTATTAGCCTGACGTTTCGGATTCCTACTCGAAACCATCATCAGAGACGAAAGAGCAGAAAACGGGTGGTTGTTGCACAAGGGGCTGCGGTATTTATAGGATGCAGCAGCCATGCTACCGCATGCCTATGAACGTTCACGGCTTCCCCCTTCATCCGGGATTGTCAAACTTGGGGTGATCATTGCTTGATGGCCGACATTCGAGTCGATAATTGCCGCAATTTCATCACGTGCGTTGGATGTTGGCGTGATGATTGCTCGACCATCTGATGCGTTGATTCGGGTGTTGGGAAGAGTGTTCACCAGTGCGCTCCCCGCGTGGCCAATTACTCCGCCTAGACGAAGTCTCAGCACGCTGTATTGAATGGGAAGATCGTTGCACTTGTTGATGGACTGGGGGCCAGTAAACCATGATTCCAGTAGCTCCCGGCTCACTCGGTTGTCACCTCTTGCGAGAATTTCGGACTCATCGAATTTAAATGTGTGGCCGGGTCTCGTCGAATGAGCCGCAACTTGAGAGCTGGCGTCATTTCTGTGCACCGCTGTCGCGTGTTCAGCCATTCTCGTTCGGAGCTGTCTTCCGGTTTCTCCGACGTAGTTGCTTTGTCCGCAACTGCACCAGATCCGATAAACGACTCCAGACGTTTCTAGCCGTGGCAGTGGGTCTTTCGCTTTCATGATCAGACGCCTGATGGTTGCCTCCGGTCTGTGTGCCACTCCAACCCCAAGTGGTGCGAGAAGGCGGCCGACAGCTTCCGAAACGTTCTTGACATACGGAAGTGCCCACCAAGACTTGGTGTCCATGCGGTTAGGCCTTTCGTCCCTTTTGCGTATGCACCGGTCGACGAAGTTGCGCGGGTAGCCATTGGCTTTGAAGACCCGTCGGAGGTATTGTAGTTCAGCAATTTTGTCTTCCGGCTCACTGCAGTGC